ATTCTGCAGAGCTATGAAACGCTGGGTCTCTGGGTGTCAACCCAGCACCTCTCAAGGAAATAGGACTCTAGTGCTGAAACTGCCTTTGCTAAGCACTGCAGCCCCGAGAGACTTCCCACGAGGTACTCTGGACCCCAGGCCTGGGGCTCATATAGCTTGTTCAAGGGCCTGCAAATGTGTCTGGGGGTGGGGTTGGGAGCAGGAAGGAGAGAGTGGAAATTGGCTTCACAATATAAAAACAACCCCAAACTAAGGTAAGTGTCCACAAATATAATACCATCAAATTCTTCAGTGTTCCAAAGATTTGTCAGAAAACATGTTTTGAGAAACTTCCTGGTATTCTAGGTGATCGTTAAGAAATCATTGCCAAGTATGAGTTAAAGACTGCCAAATAGTCTCAGAAGTAAAACAGAAAAAAATTTTTTTTCCCAAAAACTTGCAGCAAGAATATGTATTTAAGGTGGAATGTGGGTGCATTTTAACATATGATGTGATGAGTGGGGAGATCTTCAAAAAGTCGGAGGGCCTGGGGCCCCAGTGTCCTGGGGAAATACACTGTGGTGGATTTACATTTCTAGTAGCTGCAGTTACAGAAGTATGACGGGGTCATACCATCATCCAGAATATTATTTCAATGTGATATTAAAAAGAAGATATTTATATTCTGTTTTTGAAATCTACTGTGCCAAATTACTTCACTTTCACTTTCATGCACTGGAGAAGGAAATGGCAACCCACTCCAGTATTCTTGCCTGGAAAATCCCAGGGAGCCTGGAGGGCTGCCGTCTATGGGGTTGCACCGAGTCGGAAGTGACTGAAGCGACTTAGCAGCAGCCGCCGTAGTGCCAAATTTTACGTTTACATCTCCATTCTGACTAGACACACAGAGGCCTGGAGCACCCAAAGTTATTAAAATTCATCTTAAAATGACCTGTTTGCCACCAATACCCATGTGGGATGGAGATTTTCTGAATCTTACTTTCCCAAACCAGGGCAGAGATGCTGAAGGGTGAGCAAGTGCTCAGAGCTCCCCTGCCCCCCACCCCACACAAGAAGGCCTCAACATCCCAGGAGGAAACCAACAGGGACATTAGATCTTAAGTAGAAATTCAGGAACCTGACCTCTGAAAAACTGTTCCCTTCAGCATTGTGACTCAGACGATAAAGAATCTGCCTGTAATGCGGGAGACCCAGGTTTGATCCCTGGGTCAGGAAGATCCCTTGGAGAAAGGAATGGAAACCACTCCAATATTCTTGCCTGGGAAATCCCATGGACAGAGGAGCCTGGCAGGCTATACAGTCCATGGGGTTGCAGAGTCAGACCTAATACTTTCACTTTGACTTTCAGAATTTCCCACACAGAACATCAATCTTCTAAGATAAAAATGTATTAAAGACTAGGCTTTTAGCAGATCAATAATCCTTAGACTACTTCCCAACTATTTTACAAGCTTAGTAGCAAGAGCAAATAGTGAGCCACACCGTTTCTTCTAATAAGCTGAAGTCAGTGAAATTGAATACAGAAGCTGGTCCCCAACACTGGCACTGGCATCCTCGGCGCCATCTGCTGGTCACATTGAAACACAGCTTCCCTGAGGGAGAATCCTCTTGGGGACGTTTTGGTCCCAGCAGGCTCCCTGGGACAGGAAACTTCCCAGACACCATCCCCCTGAAGTTAAGAGTATAGCCGCTGACATTTATTATGCGTCAGCCACGGAAGCCCTTCACACCCATTAGCTCTTTGAATACTCACACCGACCATTTGTGGCAGCTACTTTTAATGTCTCCCATTTTAGATGAGGTCACTGAAGCTCACAGACGTTTAAGTCACATGCTTAAGGTCGCAGAGTTGGTCATCACTTGATAGCTGGGACGTGGAGGCAGGCAGTCCAACTCCTGAGTGCATGTTCGTAACTACGTCATACAGGCATTTTAAATGTCATCTTGGAATTGATGTAATTACCTCTTCCATTTGGGGAGAATGCAAGCACACAGTTAAGACTGGTGGTAAGACAATAAATGCTACTTGAGGTTATTGAACCTCAAGAATTCACCCAAATCAAAAGTCCCCAACACCTGGGTTCTAATGCCTGACAATCTGAGGTGGAGCTGATGTAATAATAGAAATAATGTGCACAAGAAATTTAATGTGTTTGAATCATCTTGAAACCATGCCCTCCACCCCCTTGTCTGTGGGAAAATTTTCTTCCACAAAACTGGCCCCTCGTGCCAAAAAAGTTGGGGACCACTGCCCTAAACCATGTAAAAAGAGGGACAAAAAAAGAAACCCCAATCCAGTACATGATTAAACATGTAATGGTAGCACACCATGCAAAACAATATTTACCATTACTGTAAGCCACGTACTGAAATAGGTTCTGTCGTCTGTGGCTTCACTTGACACTACAATTCGTTGTAATTGTACCACCTACGAGGGGTCATGATTTAATTGGAAAATGCTGGCTTAGATGTTCCTATATGCATTTAAGGTTCATTTCTTACTGAGCCTTTCCTTTAAAGGAAACTAAAATTTTGAATTAAAAAAAAAAATCCCTCCATCTCTCTACGTAGCCCAGAACACATGAAATAGTCACCTTTGTGGAATTTTCACTGTATTTTTTATGGTTACTTTCTATTTGGGGTAAGAGATACTAATTTTCCATGTAGTATTGAAATTTTTTTCTCTAAGTTTATGTCAATGACAAATTTATTTTTGAGGAGCAAATGTTTTCAATAAGTGAATCGATTTAAAAGAAAAACAAGGAATGGTAGCAAAGTGTTGACTGTAGCGTCTAGGTGTAGATAAATGGTCACTATAAAATTCCCAACTGCTTCTTATGTTTGAAATTTTTCATTAAAAAGTGTTGGGGGGAAAAATGAACAACAAAACCTGTCTTCTCCATGAGGTTTACATACTCCACCTTCAGTGAAAGCAACTCCATCTTACACTGGGTATAAATTTTTAATGGCAGAATGACTTGACACTAATTAAAGTGAAGATTATACTTGGGTCTTCCCAAACTTTAGATGACGCCATCAAATTATGAATACCTATTGAGCACCTGGGGCTTCCCAGGTGGCTCAGTGGTAAAGAATCCACCTGCCGACGCAGGTTCAACCTCTGGGTTGGGAAAATCCCCTGGAGAAGGCAATAGACACCCACTCCAGTATTCTTGCCTGGGAAATTCCAAGGACAGAGGAGCCTGGTGGGCTACAGTCCATGGGGTCGCAGTTGGACTGGCACCTGCTGTACGCAACACATAGTATTATGTCTACAGGGATGTTGAAGATGGAGACAGTTCCTTAGACCCCACATACCTCTTACAAAACATGAAAACAAGTATCTTACAAAGTTTAATGATTTCAACAAATATTTACAGGTTCACTTTTATGTTTCAGGTTCTAGGTTGACAAGAGGACTGAACCCATCTCCAGGACTCACATCCTGGGGCCCTTACTTACTCCTGGTTTCTGGCAGCCATTAAGTCCAACCAGGGACTTAAATATTTTAAATCTGACCATTAGAAAAGAGCACTCTAAAAGGTCCATGACTTAAGATGTACTATTCTATGGTCACTTTGAACCACAGCCAGTCACTAGCTTGTAAAAAAAGAACAGTGAAACTCTGGCTGAACTAAAAGTGATACATTTCTTCTCATCTCCAAGGAATGTGGACTACCGAGACAATCAAGCTTGGCTAGAGCCTGGCTCTCTTCATAGGCATATCTGCACATACATACAGATGACAGGGCTATAGCGCTGATTCATAAAGGAAAGGAAAAAGTTAGCTGTAAACAGTTAACTTGAAAACTAAGACCTTTCTAGTGCACCTGCCTTTCTCTCTCAAAAAATTTAAGCCAAAAGAAAACAACAACCAGCCAAAACAAAACAACAAAACTTTTCAGACCAAAAGAGCCAGAGAGTTAATGGTCTGAATTCATCTATGATTTGATGAGCAAAGAATTTAAACCACTGAGTGCAAGTTATGTCCTTCAGTAGAAAACTTTTATTTTGTCTTTTAGGAGTAGGCAAACATGTCTTACAATATTACAATACCTGACTTCCACACTGAGCAAGTTAATTTACAACCGGCCCCAAAGAGTAAAGCAGAAGCATTTGGGTTTGCAGGGTAAAAACACAACAGACTCTCATTTCTGATACTTACCAATCAGGAATTTTATTACAGGAAATAAAAAAACACTCCAAAACTATGGCTACTGGGGGCACGAGCTCAGAGCACTTCCCATGCAGTGGACTTGGGTTCTAACTTGGGAGTCCACAAAGGCATCCCCCACTTGGGCTTTGCCTCAAAACAGGAAGAAGAACCATGTTCCAGTCACCAGGACACCCAGCAGAGGTGAAAAGCACTGGAATGTCAAAGATGGGAATGAGGGAAGCAAAAGAAAAGCACACCCAAACTCTGTCCAGCAACGCTTGGAGAGGCTGCTGCTGGACATGACACAGGGCAGAGACAACCCCAGCTCAGGACTGTCTCTTCTGAGGGGCGCGACCTCTCATTTCCGACAGGGCAGTTGCAATCACGAAACAAAACCCAACGAGGACGCTGGGCAGGACAACCACTTCAGAGTTCATGGGTGGGTGAGAGGAGAGTCGGACAAAGGGAGCTTAGGAGACAATCTTCAAAATGTTTATTACAAAATACAGTACAGGCTTGCCAAATGTTTCCCAATGTTCTCTAATACATACACTGCGGGACGAAGCACTGCAAATACCTGGCAGGCGCCCAAATGAATCTAAGGACGTCTATAATGATTTGAATCTCCTTAGAGGTACAGACGAAACCTGTAACCGGCAGTGGAATGGAGACGGACAGTCACTGTGGCCGCCTGGCTCCTGCCTGCTGAAGAATGACATCATTTTCTCCAGAGGTTGAAATCCACATCCAGGGCTGACAACCTACTGAAAGCTGGGACCCAAATTCGTACAAAGACGAGGCAGAATGGAGAGAAAACTCTGGACAACCCACAGGTCTCCAGCCACTACTTCTTATTCCTGGGTTTTAGCTCTTCGGCTGCATTACGCAGGAAAATGTAATTTTTCTTTTGGGGATTATAAAATTCATGTCCCTAAAGGGGAAAAAACAATATCTTAAAATGATGAAAAATCAGGTTAGCATTTTGTGGGTACTTTTAACATGCCAAGTCCTACGCCCAGTGTGTGAAGCATAATCTCTTAGGAGTGAAAGAGGTAAATGGAGAAAAATAAAAGTCAAATCTTAAACAAAAACTTCAGTCCCCAGAGAAAAGGTTAAGGATGTGGGACTTGTAATGTCCCCTTGGAAGGATGATCTTTTATATATTTCTCTCTTCAGCACTGAGACTCCTGTCAACCTTCCACCCACTGCTTTACTGCTGAGACGACTGCCCAGACTGCACAGCCTGGGGAGGGGAGGGTGGTGGAGGATGAGCTGCAGGTTTCTCAGCACAGGAGACACCTGGTCTGTGACGTCAGAGGGAGCAGATGTGCCATCCCAGACGCTGAGGGAGGTGATGTGCAGGAGTTGGTGTTATCTGCCGGGGAGGGAGGGGGGCTACCTGACACTGGGGGAGCTGGAAACACCCAGTTCAGGCCAGGCTATGAACGACGAGGGGAAAAAGGAATGGCAGCCACAAAGGCTGTAAGTGACAATGACAGTGACAGGACAGGAAGAGAGCAGAGTGGGTGGACAAGACAAGAGGAGTGGGAACCCACGGTAACCGAAAGGCCTGGAACACGGAGGTGGGAAGGGCCTCTGGGTGTACCCTGCCACCTGCTCTGCAATGGCACACTTTATTCTCATTCCTTGACAGCTATGCCGAGATGGTTCTAGAAATTCTGCTCAAACAATGACCAACCAGTCTCATAATATACGAAGTATAGCTTTTCTTACTGGTTACACTAAAGCAGCAAGCTAAATTAATCACGTAATCATGACTCCATACCACAGATACTGTCCTTCAACTGAGAACAATGAAAAACTCCTAAAACAACTTTTCTTTAAATTAAAAGATTATAATTAAGTATTCCACTGTAAGTTGACATTAACTGTTCTGATTAAGGATTTCTAAGCGGCATTCAAATCAATGAGCTCTGGTTATACACTTCTTTCAATTTACAACTATTTTTTCAAGGCTTGAAAACAGAGACCTGAGTGTCATGTGAGTAAAACATGGAGTTTTGATGTGGCTGCAGGTCGAGCAGGTGAAGAAGACGAGTTCCATCAGAGGCCCACGGGGACCCTGGGGCCTCAGGCCAGAAGCTGGCTCCAACTTGACAGGCAGAACCAAAAACAGCACACTCTTTGTAAAACCGAGGGTATGGCTTCCGCAGGTGAATGGATAAACAGTGATCCCAGACCATGGGATACTACTGTCATAAAAAGGAACGAACTAGTGACATACTCAACAGCAAAAAATCATATCTAGTGTATGACTCCATCTGTATAGAATTCTAGAAAACACAAATTCATCCATAACAACAGAAAGGAAATCAATATGTGTGTAAAAGAAAGGATTACAATACACAACATTTTGGAGAGATAACTGTTAATCTTGACTGTGGTGATGGTTTCCTGGGTACATAAAGATACTGTAACTGATCAAAGTATACATTTTACATATGTTATGTGCAATTTACTGCATTGAAGTTGCTTAAAAAAGGGGGGGGGGGTGGGCAGCTGCATGGCTCACAGAAGCAAAGACTCATAGAGGTTGTGCCTCCCACAGACCAGAGCAGGCATCACAACAGTGTGCTGATCAGCCAAGATGTACCACATAGGTGAAGTAGATGCAGCTCAGTGACTGCCCAGCTCTTCTGAGAGAGACAGAATCATAGGTGATTCCAAGACTTCTGCCCCACTGACCATATGGTGTTTAAGTAAAGAGGAACACAGGAGAAGCAGCAAGCCTGGAGGATAAAAGGAGACGGGTTGGAAAATCCACCCGATTTTTATGTCCTAGGTTAAGGTGCTCAGGGGGTGCCCAGGTGCAGACACCCCACTGGCATGGGTACACAGAGAACTGCGGCACAAGGTCAGGAGGAGATGAGACACGAGAGCCACCAGCTTATGCTGGAGGTGCTTCATGAATGCACATGTGCCTTGAGGAACCTGAAGGAGAACTACAGAAAAAGGCCTGCATGCAGGAGCTAGGAAGAGCAGAAGCCACCAGAGACGGTGAGCAGTCAGGAGTAGGAATACAACAGACAGTAGACATGTCAGAGACCAGGGAGAAGGCTTTGTGAATGAAGAGGAAGGGGTGGCCCATGGTGCCAATGCAGACAATAAGCAGCTTCTGGACTGAACGGGACAAAGGCAGCGAGGTCCCAATGACAGCTCCAGGAAACCAACGAGGAGACAGAGGTGGGGGAACAAGAGGGCAGGTGGTTACCTCTCTGGACGAGTTTAACAGTAAGGGGACACTGGGATTCTTAACGCTTGTTTCAGAACAGCTGAAGTGTGTGCTTATAGACGGCAGAAGGAGACAGGGGACAGGAAGAGAAGGTGGAATAACAAGAGGCAGAGAAGAATGGAGTTAAGTGTGTTGGGGATGGGAGGCGAGGGGGGCAGGACGAGTGAAGACAGACACGTGTGGAGGTGAGACTGTGGCCGAAACCTTAGTGCTCGGGTCAGTTCTTTTACCACAGCACTGGGATGACTCAAACACAACCAGGACCCCATCAGTCCATAACCTCCCTCCCCAAACAGTGAACAAACAAAAAGCTTATGCCTCTGGTGAAGGCTGGGTACCTTGCTGAGCCCTCATCACTCTCACCCAACAACCCCCGACATCCCTGAATGACTCAGATGCCCCAGAGTGCCGGCTGCTGGGTTTACGCTGACCAAGCACCTCACGTGGGCACGTTCTCAGGGAAAGGCTGAGAGGGAGGCCCTGCTGCTTCCTGCTGCAGTGAGGTGATGGTGACAGGTCATGTGCAAGACACACAGCACGTCTGGAGAGGCCTCACGACTAAGCTCAGGCCTTCGTACACCAGAGCCTGGCTCTGCTGCTGGATGGCGCCAGTGCAGGCCTGGGGATTCTCACCTTTGACCAGTCGTAGCTGGAAGCATACGCAAATATGTTTCCATTGTGATTGAAGCAGCAGGCAGATATTGGCTGATCTAACTGTTCCGAAGTCTTTAGTTTTGTTCTGGCATCTTTGTCCCAAAAGCTGAATCTACCATCAGATCCCACAGTAGCAAGGGTGCCATGGACAGGATGGAAGGCAATTCCATTAACCTACAAAGGATGGATACACACAGTGAGGAGGGAGGAGAAACCGGGTTTTTGATAATGCAGACTTCCTGGTTCAATGAGAACATAAAATGAACAACCATAATTTCATTAGAACTGATGGCCTGCTGATCACATCAAAAACCAGCCCCGCTTCCTGAACCAACTGACAGCCCAGGACTGAATCTTGTCTCTCGTTAAAAACACAAGTCAGCAGAAGTTAATAAGTATGTAAGCTAGTGGCACCAAGGAGCAAACCTCAGGAAAATGCCTTTTTCTTTTTCAGCAAATAGCAATTTCTCAGTTTTAGCTAAGCGTACCAACTGTCTACTAGCACTCATACTGGTGGAAGTTGCTCCCCAAAACTCCTAAGCTTGCATTTCAGAAACAGAGAATGAAGAGAGTCAACATGTTCATAAAAACAGAAAACCGAAACCTCCCATGTAAGCCATTTGTCCCTGCACATGAACATACACAATGACAGTGATCTTTTCTGATCCCATAATGACTCAGCTATCCACCGCCAAGTCTAGTTTCTAGATACATTCTCAGGATTAACGTTTCTAAAAACACACCGCGTAGATGTCCTGAGGAGCTGAAGTGTTGGTCCCATTAGATCGATGACATTTAAAGGTGAAGTTATCCTTGGCACTGAAAAACAAAGGCCCAACTTAGCTTCCCTTCAAAACAAAATGTTTCACATGAACATCTGCAAGCTGACCAGGCCTCACTTACGGATTTGGGGGGTTGATGTAGTGAATAGCAACTCTCCCCTCGATGCTTCCCAGGGCAAAACCTGTCGGCTTGTTCTGTTTGTCTTTAAAAATAGCCACACATCGATGCTATAGTTGGGGAGAAAAAGTATATCATCATCATGTGAAGTATAACATTCCATAAATAACATGAAAGTAAACAACTTTTACTCCATCTTTGGGTTTTGAAAGAACCAGAAACATATTTCTCAAACATGATAAAGAAGATTTTTCCCTTCCTCCAGTAGGCATTATTTTTTTATTCAGCCACATGATTTTATGAATAAACCGCAGACCACGTTCTTCCGTCCAGGTGCTGCTGCTCCTCTGCTACCCTGCAGGCCTCGCTGTCACTGCAGCAGGGCACACACCCCTCAGCCCCGCCAGCTCCTATTCCGGCACTGAGCCCCTGGTGGGTTGGGAGGACACGTCCCTTTGATTTGCAGCATACCACTGACTAAGCGAGTGCCCTCTAGGAAGTCAGCCAGTGTCCCAGGGTCTCTGCATCCCCAGTTGGAAAAGGGAAGTAGTGTTTGTGGGGGAGGATGTGGGAACAAGGGTCAAGCATACAGTGGATGTGGCCAGAACTTTCTAAACCATGAATAAGCTATGCAAAAGATAGACACTACACTTGATCCAACACTGAACCTGAGGGCCCAAAGGAGTGTCTCCTGGACTCCACAGAAGATCCCAAACAAAGAGCCCATGGCCCAGTCTCCGGAGGCAGAGACGCATAGGTCCACACTCCTGCTGTCATTCAACAAGAGCTGCATTCGAGTTGGAAGGAGAGAAATGGTCAGACTCGAAACCACACACAGGGTACAAGTGAGCGTGGTGGTTAATGAGATGGGGGAGGAGAAAAGGACGGACAGTGAGTAAAGGACAACTCCTGAGTTCTGGCCTAGACAGCTAAAGGCCCCACCTAGTGAGATGCACAGCATATGGGTAGGAGCAGACTGGGGGCAGTGGGGAGGCCCTGGGCCTGGTATGGGATGCTACTGGGCTGAGATACCAAGGGTTGGGGGTGGGGGGGACGCATAGGAGCTGTCAGACTGCGGGTGCCCTTGTCAGGAGCACAGAGAGTAGGTAGCTAGGGATCCAAGACTCCAGCTCACCATGCACCCCTAACCAACAGTCATGAACAGCAGACGGGACCGTGCTGAGCTTCAGAAGACAGTGGCCTAGGGCAGATGCCTGGGGAACTTCAAGATACAGCAAGAACCAGCAAGGAAGACAAAGCAGCAAGCAGAGGCCAGAGTTAAGAGACTGGCATTATAGAGCCCAGGCACAAAGTCCTCAGAACATATAGTTAAGAACACTGGTGAGTACCATGGTTGTGGTAAGATGAGGGTGACGAGTATCCACTGGAGTTACTGACTAGGAAGCCATCAGTGGCCATGCCAGAAACAGTTCTGGTGGAGTCACAGGGGCAGAAGTCTCAAAGGAGTGGGTGAGAAATGAGTAGGAGGTAGGAGAACCAGGAAAGCTCATTTAAGACACTTGACTTACAAGGGGAAAAGGTACCTAGCTGGCTGAGGATGTGAGGGTCAGAAGAGGTTTGTTTCCCAGCATTAGACTTGAGTTTGTCTTATGCCAGTGAATAAAAAGTTGGAGGGGGTGAGCAGGGGGTAAGATGAGATACAGGAGGGAGGTGAATGGCTGATAGCCTGAGGCTCCTGAGAGGTGGGAGGGCGCAGAGCCTAACCAAAACTGGCCACTGGAGAGTGTGGACCACTCTTCAACACGTGGGAAAAGGCAGGCAAGAGGCAGATGTAGTCAGAATTCTAGGTTCAGCAGGAGTTAAGATGAGGAAGTTTCCAATTATCAGCTTCTGTGTTCTAGGAGTAGAGGCAGATCTGATCTGCAGAGACAAAGGCCAAAGGAGGGAGGGATCGGAAGAGGGTGAAGAAGATCTAAGAATCTGTGGCAGGTGGAGACCAAGCTGAAGGCAGAAGCTGTGGACTCATGATGGAACCAGTTCACTGTAGTGTGTACCCATTCAGCAGCATTCTGCTACCCAGGGCATGTCTGCCAAGGATGGTATTTACCCGCTAATACTGTGTTTATATCCTTAAAGTCTCCTCCTTTTAATATCCAAAAGTACAACAATCTCCACATGCACGCACTTACTCCCTATGATGCTAAATACAAGCTTCCTGATCTGATTCATGACTCACCTGATGCTTCAGTGGAGACTCTATCCTCCTAAATTCAGAAGGCTGATTCTCTAACTGATACACAATCAGGCCCCTCTCTGCAGTTGCCACCACAGCCATAGGATATATCTAGGAAAAAGAGGAAAGCAGAGACCTACTTAAAGTGGGGTGTGCTCTTTTGTATACCAAAGTATTCTATCAATTTTTTCAGAGTGGCAAAAATTAGTGAATTTTTTTTAAGCTTAACAATCCAATGGTATTTACATGTTTCAAGGTAACCTAGAGAAATCATATTTGAAAGTAGAACATACCTTTTTAAAAGACTCACTTTTTAAAACTATGAAATATTTATTTAGGACATATACTGAGGAATAGAGAAAAAATAAAAATCATTGTTCTACCACCCCTTCAAATGGTAACAGTTGTCAGCATTACGGTATGTTTTCTCTTGTCTTTTTTTTTGAGCATTTTTTATACACGTGTGTATATGTACATTTTTATATAATTCACATCCTTTACTAAAGTGTGTTCAGTGAACACCACTCCACACATTTTCCTGAGAACAGTAGTGATGGCCATTTAAGTAATGTTCCCTCAAATCAAACGACTGCAGAGTTGGCCCACTGGGTCATTTCCAATATTTTACTCTATTATACAGAACAAGGAACATTTGCATCTCTACTTTTCTCATGATAAATTCCTGAAAGTGGAATTATGGGGCAGTTAGTACACTCTTAAGACTTATTGCTACACCAACAGAGAAAGTTCTTCAGCTTCTATCCCACTCAGGGATAGTCACCAAAGATCTAGTCCCACATCACAAAGTTATTGCCAGTTTTTGTACAGTACACATCATACCGGTGGCGGCATGGCCTGTGACTGAATATCTTCGTATAATAAGTGACTAAAAGTGTGACATCCAGTTTTCTGTAGTTTTGGAACACATGCAGTACAAAAATCTAGGTTTAAGACAACTGAGGCAATCCAAACTACATCCCACAACTATTATTAAAGTCTGAAGGGTTTTTACGTTGTCCTCTAATTGTAAGGTATCATAAAGTAAGAAACTTCTTACCACATCAGCACAGTAACACCTTTCAGGGAGCTGTAACACCATCATAGGATTTGATGATCGTGTATCCCAAAACTGAAAGACAAAAAAAAACAACAACAAAACAAAAGCAAAAAAACAAGTGACCAACCATTCAGAGCTAACATCCAGATAGTGTAAGAACACCACCTTGGTCAGGCCAGGAAGTCCCTCGACTATGTAGCATACCTTCAAGGTCTTATCCCAGCTCCCGGTCATCACACAGCTGTAGTTTGGTGCTTTGATCCAATGTATTGTTTTGACAGGAGCATCGTGCTTTCAAGACAAAACCAAAACAGATCAAGGTAAATGTAATGTAGCATGCCACATAGCTTTGGTTCTGGAAATTCAAAGAAAAGGAATCTTAAATATTGAGGTCATACTCAACAAAAACCAAAGGATGGTATAGTCCTTCCCCATGACCAAAACATTCTGTGTAACATTAAGAGCATGTACCTACCTTCCATACCAACAAAATTTAATTTGATTTGAACCATAATTAACTCGTATGAGAGTGAAGGGGGAAGTTCAGAAACAACTCACAGGGAAGAACCCCCCCACAGTTGTGTCACTGAGGAGACAAACATTAGAGATCAAAGAGGTGCTCTAGCACACGGTATTGCTGTCTCAGGGTATGTGACACCTTCCTCAAAGTGTCTCAGTGTCAAGAGGCTCTTCCTCACCAGGCCTGACCCTCTGGCTCTAGGCTCTCTCCTCTTCATTGTTTCTGCTTTTCTTAGCAGTCTTCACACAAGAACCTGCCTGCCACCTTCAAGCAGGCTGTAAAAGCTCCTGACACAGGGAAGGGTGCCTCTCACTTACTGCTGTGTCTCTACTCCAAGGACAGTGCCTGTGGTGTCACTGGCAATTGATACATACTTTTCTAATGAACAAGTGACCAAACGCAGCCTGGGACAACACAAGCCAACATGGGTGCTGGAATGCTGAGGATCAGTTTTAACACTGCCTTTTACAGGTCTGAACATCACTAGCTCCTTATGATGCAACCCTCAACCACACAAATGCGGAAGACCCTTGGACAGAACAACTTGTGAAACACCAGTAAAAACTACAGTGCTCATAAAATTGGCGTTATTTTGTGCTGAAGAGGTTTCTGGTATATTTAAGTCTAATTGATTTGGTCCAGCTCAACGGCACCTTTCCTGTAACAGAGTAAGAATCATTACAACCCTGCCTTGCCCAGCATCTCTGCAGAGGATAAATTTTATTATTTATTACCTGTGCAATCTGTATCGCCTGGTTACTATTGAGGTCCCACATTTTGGCAGTTTTATCACATGAGGCTGTAAATACTTTGCTCCCATCCTAAAATAAAGTAGAAAAAAAATCTGACATTCTAATAAAAATAAAAATTCTATATGAACATTTAGATATTAGATTGAACATACTGAGGCAGGTTTTATTTTGCAATTTTTATTTTTCCAATTATTTGGGGGCTTGTGTATTGCAAACTACAATGTCATAAAAAACACATTTCCAGCTCTCTTCAATTATCAATTTTTTTCTAATAGACAACATGTAAACAGGTTAATAAAAAACTTAAACAGCATTTAGAGTTACGTAATGAAAACCAAGTCCCTCCCTGACCCCAGCTCACTGTTCAGAGGCAGTCATGGTCACTGGCAGCCCTCTAGGAGCAGCCTTTTATATCCTGTTTCAATGTCCTACCAGGAGCCACTTACATTTTTTTTTCTTATTTTCACCAATTTCAAGCCTTCACAACAGGTACAAGAACAGTACAATGAATACTCACAAACACATCATCTACATTCACCAATTTAAACATTTCGCCACATATACTGTATCTTTCTCCCCGCAATTTCTGCTCTATACCACGTATGTTCAATCATTATCACTTGTGTTCAGTTCAACATCTAACAGCATTCTAAAGTGCATGCAATAAAACTACACTAATTTACAATGATCATTGGTCCAATAGAAACTACAAAATAGCTTAAAAAATTGGCACTGTGTTATAGTTTTAAAATATTCACATACAAAATTCATAAAGTAGGTCAGTCAATTATGAAGTATAAGATAATTTAAAAACAATAAGTACCGAGTTGAAAATCTAGACCTATCATCAACATTTTTTTTTCCTAAAGGGTAATATAGTAAATATTTCAGCTTTGCAGGTCAAGTGGTTTCTGTTGCAACTCCTAATTCTGCTGTTGTAGCTAGAACGCAGCCATACACACTGTCAAATGAATGAGTGTGGTTGTGTTTCAAGAAAACTTCATTTACAAAAGTTAGCAATGGGCCAAATTGGGCCCATGGGCCATAATCTACAGACTCCTACCATGTCACTTGTGGTTCCACAGCTCAAAGATTTACCATTATCTTTCCCTAGCAAAAACTTATTTGAAGTCACCAGCTCACCATCTGAAAGAAGACAGAAAACCGTCTTCTCTGTCAATGAGGCTCTAAGGGTCAGTCCACAAATCCTTGGAAAGATGCTAATGCGGGCTGTCCTGAGGCTGAGTGAAACACTGGCCCCTCAATCTCCTGCAATGTTGACCCTACCAGCTGCAGGATACCAGGCCCCAGTGGGCACACTGAGACAGAGGCCAGTCTATCAAAAGGCTGGCGCAGAGGAACGAGATCACTAAACGCTCCCAAATCAGCTCCTCTAAGCTCCACCTGCTGTGTCCACGCAGCGAGCTGTGTCCTTGGACTGCTGGAGAATCACCCTCACCAAGCTGGGCTTTTACACCTCGAGGGTAACTCTGGCTCTTCTGTGCCTTTCCATATATGCCTTCCTCTTCCACACCAGCTCCTATTTCCTACAAGCCCCTGTGAGGGAGGCTGTCAGTGCCTGGGCTCTGGAGCCAGAAGGTCCAGGTCTGGGCTCAGCCTTTCTCTATGTTACCTCAAGCAAGTCTCTTAACCACTTCCCACAGGTGCAGTGCTAGTCTTTGAGTGACTGGATAACAGATTCAGAGAGATTAAGTAACTTGGCAAAGCCAAAAAGTGAACATAGAGCTGAAATCTGAATCCACATTTGGAATGGAGACAGTTCTCTAAAGCTATAAGCAAATGGTTTGCTTTTAAGATTCAGCTCAATTCTTGCCTCTTCTGCGAAGCTTTCACTGCACCCTTCCCAACTTCATAGTTGCCTTCTGGGTTCTGTCCACCCAGCACAGTGCATCCTGTCTCTCTAAGAACTTAGCTCCCTGAACTGGAACTCTTCGTGTCTATATTTTGACTTTTCCACTAGACAGTGCATGACTCTAATGGAGTTAGAGAAAGGAAATAGGCTGTGTACTTTTCTGTAAAAGGCGACTCAGGAACAGCTGAACAACAGACAGAATTCTGGTGTCAGGTAATTCTATTTCTTACCATACCTGATAAGAAACTCACAATTCTGATCTGTTCTCTCATCAGTAAAGAAAGACAGGTAAAATAAATTAGAAGTATTTAAAATCTACTCAAATAGCTGTTTTTCTAAGTGTAATTTAAAACTATTATTAATCTCATAATAACCTAATCAGACAAATCAGGAATACACTTTACAGATTGACAGAAATGTCTTAGAGAAGACTTTCAGAGATGATTAAAATGGGAGCAACTCAAAATATTTATAAACAGAATAATTTGCTATGTGTAAGCTAAATATAATCACATGAATGGTGTGAGTAGTCTGGTGTTTCTCATAAAAATTAACATAAATGTTTCATATGACTCGGCAAGCCCACTATTAGATATAAACTCAAGAGGAAAGAAAATTTATATTCACAGAAAATCCAGTATACAAAATGTTTATGGCAGCATTTATTCATTACAACCAAAAATGGAAAACAACCTAAATGTCCTTCATCTTGTGGATGGTGAACAAATGGTGAACATCCATACAATGCACTACTACTCAGCAACAAGGAGGACAAACTGCTGCCAGATCCACACTAGATGGACCTCAAGAGCACTGAGCTGAAAGCAGCCAGACTCAAAAGGATTCTATTGATGGCGTTCTAGTAAAGGCAGAAACACAGGGACGGAAAACACACCAGTGGTCTCCAGGGACAGCAGCTGAGGAGGATCTGACTACAAAGGGCAAAAGGAAATCTTTTGGCTGATGGATCTCTTCTATATTTTGACCACAACTCTATGCATTTATCAAAACTCACAGAATCATACACTTAAAAGGTTTAATTTTACTGCCTGCAAATTACATCTAATAAAAAAAATTCTATGAGCCTGGGAAGGAACCTTGAGACTTAGCTTCCTCAGCACATCTGCCCCACTCTTGAGTCAGGCGCTTTTGGTTTTGGCTGTCAGCAGGAGTAGGAGGGGAGGGAGGCTGGGCCCTTCACAGCCAAGGCTCCTGCTGTGCGTGACTTCACCATCCCTGTCGGCTTCTTTGTAAATGGTATACCTTCATTAAACTCCCCAATCACCCACCTTCTCCCCTCAAAAAAAAATAAAGAGGGTGCCCGAGTTTGCCCCTTTCCCCTCCCCCTGCCTCCTGCCTCTGGAGGGGTGGGCCAGTTCGCAGCCGGCTAGCCCTTCTCTGGAATTGCTGAGTCCCTTTGTTCCACGAATGGCCGGCAGTGTGTTTGGGCTGGTTAATTTTCTCTCTCTCTCTTGCTATCCCCCCGTTTAAGTTGCTATCTCACATTAGCTCCCTCCGATTGCCCTCAGGGAATTTGGCCCGGTCCTTACCCTAAGCAATGCCGCCCACTCCTCTCCGTTCCGCCCCCACTTGCTGGTGGCAGATGCGGGGGTCTGGGGTACTTTTCTGCTAGGAGTTGCTTTTAGGCATGTAACCTGTGGGTTTTATTTATTTTTCCTCCCAGTTAGGTTGCCCTCCGAGATTCGAAAACTTCCCCCAGACCTGCCCGTTGAGAGGGTTTCCTGGTGTTTGGAAGATGGAAGCAACCTAGATGCCCATCAGCAGACGAATGGATAAGGAAGCTATGGTACATATACACCATGGAATATTACTCAGCCATTAAAAAGAATTCATTTGAATCAGCTCTAATGAGATGGATGAAACTGGAGCCCATCATACAGAGTGAAGTAAGCCAGAAAGATAAAGACCAATACAGTATACTAACGCATATATATGGAATTTAGAAAGATGGTAACAATAACCCTATATGCAAAACAGAAAAAGAGACACAGATGTACAGAACAGAATTTTGGACTTTGTGGGAGAAGGCCGGGGTGGGATGTTTCGAGAGAACAGCATCGAAACATGTATATTATCTAGGGTGAAACAGATCACCAGCCGAGGCTAGATGCATGAGACAAGTGCTCGGGCCTGGTGCACTGGGAAGACCCAGAGGAATCAGGTGGAGAGGGAGGTGGGAGGGGGGGATCAGGATGGGGAATACATGTAAATCCATGGCTGATTCATGTCAATGTATGACAAAAGCCACTACAATACTGTAAAGTAATTAGCCTCCAACTAATAAAAATAAATGGAAAAAAAAATAATAAAGAAAGAGCTCAGAGTTGAATAAACTCAAACACATTTACTTATAATGCTAATGTTCAGGATTTGGAAGGAAAAAGAATTTCAAAGAAAGGAAATATTTCAAAAGTCCAATAATGGTAAAGGATTAATTTTCCCCCTAGGACTTACTTCCTGGGACTGTAAATTTTTAATTTTAAAACAACATAAGCTCCTGGCACATCAAGAGATATAGGAAAAGCTTTAACTGTCTAACCCTTGCTCAAGAAAATGGCAAAGCACTCCAGTATTCTTGCCTGGAGAATTCCATGGACAGAGGAGCCTGACAGGCTACAACCCATGGGGGGAGGTGCATGTGGTGCACAGAGAGTCAGACACGACTGAGCAGCTAACACTTTGCTCAAGCAAACAGGTCAATAAATTAATGGATTTTTTTTTAATGCAAGAAGCTTTCAGAGAGACTAACTAAAGCTAACATAACAAAAGTTAACTGACTACATTATGAATATCAATCAATGACCGTATTTAAATTCAGAAACAGCATTTCTAAAATGTGTATGCATACATGCTATTTGTATTTCAGGTTATATAAAAACATGACGAAACTTACATCGCTCCAGCAAACATCTAGCACAGGCCCCGTGTGCATCTGCTGGGCTTTTGGAATAGTCTGTCCACTATCTTGAACTTCCCAGCATCGAACCTACAGTAATAAAACAATGAAGACACAACAATTAATGATAACCCCTATGCTCCCAGCCATAATTACATAAACACAAATTTACATGACAGACACTTTCCCCTATCAAATTGGCGTAATAAAATGAGTAATACTTGGCACCACCAAGGAGAAGCTGAAATCTGGACTAGTGGTAGCTGTACCCTGTGTCTCAGACATTCCCTTTCTGGGACTTGAGAATTTCCCATGATGCACTTTGTATGCATTATCTGAACTCACCTCTACAACAGCTAAACCTCTGTGTATTTACTGTCATCTCCATCTTATTTCAGGATATGAAGCTTAGAGAAGTAAGATAACTGGCCTAGGTCCCCCACTTAAGTGAACAGCAAAGCCACTATGCATTTATCTGCTTATGAGTGTGATTAAATGGTTCAAATTTGCTCTAACAAGCCACCTGCACTTCTTTTGTGAAGTGCTTCTAAACATCTTTTGCCTTTTTTTCTACCAGAATTTTTATCTTTCTTTTTGAATACTACAATTTTTGTTTGGTAAGTATGGTGTTGATGCAGGACTGCTAAAGGTGAAAAACTTTAACATATGCCTAAAGAACAGGCATCCTTCAGGATGCCTAGAAGAGAAATTCACATAGAGCATTAAGGACAACATTTATTCTCAATGAATACTACACATGATCAGGGAATATACTCAAGATACTGAACTAGAGTATAAATTTTTGAATGATGCATATGATCTTGCTTTCTTAAAAAATGGCACAAGAAGTGATGCCTGCCATTCAGAATGGTTCACACTCTTAAACTCATTTCTTTAAAAAAAAGGTCATGAATAAGCCATAACTTTGCTTTATTCACTTGGAGCAAAAACAAACAAACAAAAAACCCAGCCCTGCCCATGCAAAGAGATACACAACAGAGAGCATTTACATTTAAGGAGATACATTTAAGGAGCACTTACATCATTAGCCCACGATCCTGCAATAAGAAAGTTCCCCGGCAAGGTTGGGGGGCTAAATGATAGACAACCAATGCTATCATCAGGAGAGGATGTTACTTCAATATCCTGGGGTGGAAAAAGTCCATGTTAAAATGTATACATCATCACAATTCAAAATTGCTTTCTTTCTCATCAACACATCAAGGTGAAGTGTCCCTGTTCCCAAGAACTAAGTGAATCAGATCTCACTTACTTGGATAAAAAGGGGGAGTGTAACCCAGCCAGTGAAAGTACTGGCACTGCTGGACTGCAGGCAGCATCTCAAAGCCAGGCCTGCAGCCACGTTCCCCAACAACAGCCCACCAGGTCATTCCTGCCCCACAGTGCTCAACCATCATCATCACCTGCCTCCCTCTCCCAGAGAAATTCTCATTCAACAGTTGTGGACTGGACCCTGGGCACCTGCAATTTTAACAAGCACCTTGTATGATTTCAGTGACTAGGAATGTCAGGGGAAATAGGACACTAGTCCAGGGGACACACAATTTCTCTGCTCCAGTATTTGAGAGAGCAGGCTGAACAAAATTTCATCGTTTTCACCTCAAAGGAGGCTCCCGCACCAAGTGGGATTCTCTTGCTGTCATGGATGTGGGACTCTCTGGCCTGCGCTGTTTCTAAAAACCCCATGAAGCTGTATGTGGTACCTTCATAGGGTTGTGATTATCTGTGGTTGTGCTGCCAAACATGCTGGTCCCACCAGATCCAAAACCCGAGGTTGTTCCAAACAGACTCATTTTGGCCCTAAAAAATAATGGAAAAAGTAAAGGACAGGTCTTCTCATAAGTAATTAACATCCTTAAGAGGCAATAAAAAGATACAGTTAAGTTACAGGAGGGATATAGAGAGTAAATAAATAAACGACTTGGTATCAGGCTTCTCTCTTCTGAGGAGATTTAATATGCAATAAGCAGAGTGCCTTTTAACAACAAGCCTTCTATTTTTAGAATAGTTTTTAATGGAAAATTCCAAAGTCAGGAGAGTTCCCATATATCCCACATCCAGTTCCCTTCTTACATTCATCACAATTAATTAACCAATACTGATACATTACAGCAGAGTATTTTTCAGCCACCAACTAGAAAATAAATTCATTTTTACAGTTTGAGACACAGCACTGAGCAGTAGGAATACAATAGGAAACCAGCAGAAGGCTCTGTTCTTCCAGGTTCCCATTTAGTGACAGTTCACTTTCCTCATATAAATTTCCACACTCTGGTTTAGGTCACTATTTCTGCATGAAGTTACTAAGAAAAGCAACCAATCTTGGCAGCAATCACAGGAGTTTTAAAGAGTAATCTACCTTTATCTGGTTTGGCATTGTGCTGGACATTTTCCCAGCAAGAATTCCCCACTTTGAATTTTTTAGGGGTGCCATAGTCTAGTAGGCCCATCTAGGTTAGAACCATGCCTCTGCCACTCACCAGAACTGGGATCCTAATCTGACCAAGCCTCATTTTCCCTATTCTGCAAATACAGAGAATATTAACACCCTATCCAGAGTTGCTCTGAGTATCAAATCAGATTATCTATGTAGAAAATGTAGTATCTAGTGGATAGTGGGTCATAAACAAGTTTCCTTTTTTCCTTACAAGGAGAAAGTATATATATTATAACTCTCTGATGATTCACTTACACTGATGTATTTTCAATTCTGTAACTGGTTAGTAAGTTCTTACATCCAGCTGCCTACCCAAAGGAGCCTTGCAGCTGAGTGACATGAGATAACAAGAGTAGCATCTCTTATGATGACAACACAGAATGGGAAAACTATGAGGAATTTTGGAAGATATCTGAGTTTCCTGAGCTTCAAGAAAAATAATCAAGTGTAGACATACTAGGTCTATGAGTACATTAATACCTCAAAAAGTGACTCTGTGCAAGGATGTGGGGCTTGCTGACCACCTCTGACTCAAATGATTGAGATGTATTTGGAACATCAACTGTGTGAGCAAAGGAATGACAAAGGTTCTGCAATCAAGTCCAGGAACTAAATATATGATTTTGGGCAAATTATTTAGCCCCACTAGCTCAGACAGTAAAGAATCTGCCTGCAAAAAAATTAAAAAAAAAAAAAAAAAAAAAAAAGAATCTGCCTGCAATGTAGGAGACCGGGTTCAATCCACAGGTCAGGAAGATACCCTGGAGGAGGGCATGGCAACCCACTGAAGTATCCTTGCCTGGAATATCTCACGGACAAAAGAGCCTGCCAGGCTACAGTCCAAGGGGTTGCCAAGAGTTGGACAAGACTCAGCAACTAACACTTTCTCATCTACAAAAACAGACACTAAGATCCATCTGAAGTGAAGCTGTACACACAATGCCTGAAACTTCTATTCCTTCTTTCTCTTCAACCATGGAGCATTAATCAGCCTGTGTGGACCATATGTTGCACAGGACACTGGGAACCCATAACAAGTTCAGAAGGCAGGAGTTCATCTCTAGCCTACCTAGTCTCTTGCTCCCTCCTTGAGCACTCCAGCTCTCAGGGTTTCCTTTCTGCCTGTGAATACAACAAGCCCCTCCCAGTTTGAAGCATTCCTACCAGCTATTCCTGCAACCTGGGGTGACCCGGCCTCCCCCGGTGGAGGGCGTCGCTTTTTGAGATTATTAATGCGCTCATAGACCTAGTATGTTTACATTTCATTATTTTTCTTGAAGCCCAGGAAACTCAGATACCTTCCCAAATCCCCAGCTGTCTCAGTGTGAATTTTCAGGTCCCACTTCAAAAGGTAGCTCCTCTTGTGAACTTTTGGGGGGGTGATGGAAATGGTCTAAACTGCATCGTGATGATGCTTACGCGACTGTATTAAACTTTCCAAACTCATCAAAATGTGCACTTTAAATAGGTTACAGTGTGTAAGTGACGTTCGGTGAAACTCTTGGAGCATTCTTTTTTTTTTTTAAGTCACCTCCTCTCCTCAGAGGCTTCCCTGCCTTCCGAAAGTAATACAACTGATCCTCCATCACTTGCCCCTCTTCTTCACAGCACCGGTCCCCATCCGGGACTTGTCTGCAACCAGCCCCCTCCCCAGGAGAGTGCCAGCTCCAAACGGCCCAGAGATGTCTGGATGTTCCCCTAAAACACACCTGGCCCGCAGCACAGCGCCTGGCGTGTCACAGATGCTTGCCTGGGCGGAGTGTGCGCACACGGATATAATAAAACACTTGGCGGAGGAAAACAGAGTTAACTGCAGACACTGATAAGTGTAACAAAGGCGCTCAAGCACGTTACCCTGGAAGAGACTACCAAGAATGGTAGGGAAGGTCTCCGAGGCGGCCGCTTGCATCTGAGGAGAAGCCAGAAGTGTAACCAGGAAGGGCAGAGACGATAGGGGCTGCCATCGACTCTGCCCTTTCTCGGTGCCTCAGTTTCCCCACGAGAAAAACGAGGGGATCAGACCAGCGGTGATCTTAACGCACCCTTGCAACTCCGACGTCCCTCCGGGGGGCCACTAAAGAAGCTCGCCAACGGTCCGGCTCGCGCTCCAGCACCTCGCGGCGGAACGCACTCCCCCGGGGACCCGGCCTCAGCGGCGCCATGGCGGCGGGGAACAAGAATCCGCACGGGGCCTACCTGAGAGTCGCGCAGCGGAGGGAAGCCGGCGATGGGAAGCGGGAGGAGCTCGAGACCCTGCGACCCCGCCACCCCGCTCGGGCGCGGAGGAGACAGAGGCGAGGTGACAGGAACACTAACCCCGAGGGACTGGGGTCCCCTCACGCCTGCCGAAGAAATTGCCCTAATTACCGCGGAGACATTACGCATGCGTCCCTAAGCCACTTCCTTTGGCCTCCGGAAGTCAGGGAAGGAAAGACAAGGATTCTCCGCCCTCAAGGCAATGGCACATGCGCAGAAGCACTATTGATGCCTAGAAGTCCTAGTGCCAGCAGTTTGCGGATTGGTCGAAAGTTGGTGTCAACGCAGTTGCCGAGCGACCGCTCTGATAATTCCGCGGCCCCGGCAGGAAAAAGGTAGTTAGAATCTTCTCTTGTGAATTTACTGTAGCAAAATTCTGATTGCCGCAAATTCAAGTTCAAGGCTATCCTTCGAATAACTGTCTGGGTTTGCTGTCTGGGTGGTTTGCTGTCTGGGTTCCTACCGTGGCGTCCCTATTTGCGACTGGGGTATCTTGAGCCATTTGGGCTCTTTGGACCTCAGTTTATAGCTGTAAAATGAGGGCAATGATGCCTAACTTCCAGGACTATTCTTAGCTAGGCTCAAGTGAAGTAACACGAGTGAAGGTCTTTTGCTAAGTGTAAGGTTTCATAGTAATATTAAGGGACTGTTGTGACGCACATATGCCAACTCTGAATATATCAGCTGGCTTCCCCCTCCTCCTTTATGAATATCTGAAGGAAAAAAAGGGTGGTTGTGGTACATACACTGAACCTTCTTTTCTACTCAGTGTGGGCTGCGTACCAAAAACCTTGACGTCTGAGAATCCGGGGGACCTAGTTAGAGCATGAAGATTCAGAAGGTCCAGTGTGGGTCCAAGAACCTACCATTCTGGCAAACTCCCAGCTGAAGTCACCAAGCAGACCACAGTTGAGCACCAAGAATCTATATGTTTAGAAATCACTTGGGGAAACTTTTTAAAAAATAACTGATCCCTGGGCATCACTCTTGAAGATTCTGATTTAGCTGGTTTGGGGTGGAAAAAGGGAATTAATATTTTTTAAAAGCTCTCTGAGTGATTCTAAAATGCAGCCAGAGTTCAAGAACTTTAGTCTAAATAATGATAATAGCTCGTTTATTGGCTGGCTGCTGTTTATTATCTGGCTGCTCCATCTTCTGTAATTTCCAGATCAGCCCTATGGGGTAGCTGTCTCCATTTTATAGAAAAAGAAAAGGAGGCTGAGAGAGGTAATGTGACTCGTCAGACATCACACAGCTGTTAAATGACAGAGCCAGTTGAAGTAGGTCCTGTACCTAACTCTCCCAACCAGCAAAACCTTAGAATCATCTCTGACAAGTACACCCTCCTCAGTGACACCTTTCCTCATTCTTTCCCACATGAATCATCTCATACCATCTCTCCTTTCATCTTTCAAAGTCCTCTCAATGCAGTTCAGCTCAATTGCTCGGTCGTGTCCAACTCTTTGCGACCCCATGAACCGCAGCACGCCATGCCTCCCTGTCCATCACCAACTCCTGGAGTCCACCCAAACCCATGTCGGTTGAGTCAGTGATGCCATCCAACCATCTCATCCTCTGTCGTCCCCTTCTCCTCCTGCCCCCAATCCCTCCCAGCATCAGGGTCTTTTCCAGTGAGTCAGCTCTTCACATCAGGTGGCCAAAGTATTGGAGTTTCAGCTTCAGCATCAGTCCTTCCAATGAACACCCAGAACTGATCTCCTTTAGGATGGACTGGTTGGCTCTCCTTGCAGTCCAAGAGACTCTCAAGAGTCTTCTCCAACACCACAGTTCAAAAGCATCAATTCTTTGGTGCTCAGCTTTCTTCACAGTCCAACTCTCACATCCATACATGACCACTGGAAAAACCACAGCCTTGACTAGATGGACCTTTGTTGGCAAAGTAATGTCTCTGCTTTTTAATATGCTGTCTAGGTTGGTCATAACTTTCCTTCCAAGGAGTAAGTGTCTTTTAATTTTATGGCTACAATCACTATCTGCTGTGATTTTGGAGCCCAGAAAAATAAAGTCTGACACTGTTTCCACTGTTTCCCCATCTATTTCCCATGAAGTGATGGGACCAGATGCCTGTTACTCCAGGTATCTCTTGACTTCCTACTATTGCATTCCAGTCCCCTATAATGAAAAGGACATCTTTTTTGGGTGTTACTTCTAGCAGGTCTTGTAGGTCTTCATAGAACTGTTCAACTTCAGCTTCTTCAGCGTTACTGGTTGGGGCATAGACATGTCACTGAATGGTTTACCTTGGAAATGAACAGAGATCATTCTGTCGTTTTTGAGATTGCATCCAAGTACTACATTTCAGATTCTTTTGTTGACTATGATGGCTACTCCATTTCTTCTAAGGGATTCCTGCCCACAGCAGTAGATATAATGGGCATCTGAGTTAAATTCACCCATTCCAGTTCCATGTTAGTTCACTGATTCCTAGAATGTCGATGTTCACTCTTGTCATCTCCTGTTTGACCACTTCCAATTTGCCTTGATTCATGGACCTAACATTCCAGGTTCCTATGCAATATTGCTCTTTACAGCATCAAATCTTGCTTCTATCACCAGTCCCATTCACAACTGGGTGTTGTTTTTGCTTTGGCTCCATCCTTTCATTCTTTCAGGAGTTATTTAGTGCTTATCGTACTCTGTCTCATATGGTCATGGGTGTATTTGCCTTGTCTAGCTTCCTAGATTTTAAACTTTGTGTTTTACACCCACATATGTAGCACTGAGCACAGTCTTACATATTTTGGTGTTTAATATGTGTTGAATTATATTTTCCATGTCCAAGGAATCTTCCAGAAGCCCCTATTATATACAGATTCTTGTATAATACTGGTTATTCAGCATACTTTAAAAAAATCTTTCTGCTGTTTAGGAATATGTAATTGACAAGCTGCTTTTGCATACCCTATCAGTGGAACAATAGTAGCAGCCTGTGCACCAAATATAGCAATAACATTCCAAGGGTATTATTCAAACCCACACTTGTCCTAACAGTTACACTACAGAATAGCTATTATTACTGTTATCCCCATTTTATAGTTGATGAAACCAAGGCCAGATTGTAACTTCTCCCAGTTACAAAGGCAGTGAGTAGAAGTGGAACTGGGATGCAAGCATCCTGCCCCTCAAAATATGACTTTACAGATGGAAGACAGGCTGTGGTGTCACCTAACTGTTCCCCTCAGAAACAGGAAGAGGGGTCAAAACCATCTGTATCGGGGGGTATGATTATTGAGCCATAAAATAAAGGTGAAATTATGAAAAAAAGCAATTAAAATTCAGTTTTGGTCATGGCTATTATTCACATTAGTAAATCCTTCTGCAGTTTTAATACAAGGGGATATTTATGAATGACCATAGAGCTTCCAAACAAAGCTAGTGGAGCTGATGGAATTCCAGTTGAGCTATTTCAAATCCTGAAAGATGATGCTGTGAAGGTGCTGCACTCAATATGCCAGCAAATATGGAAAACTCTGCAGTGGCCACAGGACTGGAAAAGGTCAGTTTTCATTCCAATTCCAAAGAAAGGCAATGCCAAAGAATGCTCAAACTACCACACAACTGCACTCATCTCACATGGTAGTAAAGTAGTGCTCAAAATTCTCCAAGCCTGGCTTCAGCAATACGTTAACCATGAACTTCCAGAGGTTCAGGCTGGTTTTAGAAAAGGCAGAGGAACCAGAGATCAAATTGCCAACATCCACTGGATCATCGAAAAAGCAAGAAAGTTCCAGAAAAACATGTATTTCTGCTTTATTGACTATGCCAAAGCCTTTGATTGTGTGGATCACAATAAACTGTGGAAAATTCTGAAAGAAATGGGAATACCAGACCACCTGACATGCCTCTTGAGAAACATGTATGCAGGTCAAGAAGCAACAGTTAGAACTGGACATGGAACAACAGACTGGTTCCAAATAGGAAAAGGAGTACGTCAAGGCTGTATATTGTCACCCTGCTTGTTTAACTTATATGCAGAGTACATCATGAGAAACACTGGGCTGGAGGAAGCACAAGCTGGAATCAAGATTGCCGGGAGAAATATCAATAACCTTGGATATGCAGATGACACCACCCTTATGGCAGAAAGCGAAGAGGAACTAAAGAACCTCTTGATGAAAGTGAAAGAGGAGAGTGAAAAAGTTGGCTTAAAGTTCAACATTCAGAAAACTAAGATCACGGCATCTGGTCTCATCACTTCATGGGAAATAGATGGGGAAACAGTAGAAACAGTGTCAGACTTTATTTTTCTGGGCTCCAAAATCACTGCAGATGGTGACATGCAGCCATGAAATTAAAAGACGCCTACTCCTTGGAAGGAAGTTATGACCAACCTAGACAGCATATTAAAAAGCAGAGACATTACTTTGCCAACAAAGGTCCGTCTAGTCAAGGCTGTGGTTTTTCCAGTGGTCATGTATGGATGTGAGAGAGTCATGTATGGACTGTGGAGAAAGCTGAGCACCGAAGAATTGATGCTTTTGAACTGTGGTGTTGGAGAAGACTCTTGAGAGTCCGTTGGACTGCAAGGAGAGCCAACCAGTCCATCCTAAAGGAGATCAGTTCTCAATATTCATTGGAAGGACTGATGCTGAAGCTGAAACTCCAGTACTTTGGCCACCTGATGTGAAGAGTTGACTCACTGGAAAAGACCCTGATGCTGGGAGGGATTGGGGGCAGGAGGAGAAGGGGACGACAGAGGATGAGACTGTTGGATGGCATCATCAACTCAATGGACGTGAGTTTGAGTAAATTCCAGGAGTTGGTGATGGACAGGGAGGCATAGCGTGCTGCGGTTCATGGGGTCACAAAGAGTCAGACACGACTAAGTGACTGAACTGAACTGATAGAGCTTCCCAGGTGGTGCTAATGGTAAAGAACCTGCCTGCCAATGTGACATAGAGAGTTGCAGGTGTGCTCCCAGGGTTGGGAAGACCTCCTGGGGGAGGGCATGACAACCCACTTCAGTATTCTTGCCTGGAGAATCCCATGGTCAGAGGAGTCTGACAGGCTACAGTCCACGGGGTTGCAAAGAGTTGGACATGACTGAAGCAACTTAGCACGCACACATGTAGTTTATATTCCATTTTTAGGTGAGTAGAGAGTGAATATATTTGTAATTTTAGTATCAATTTCTTTTCATTTGAAGTGATCTTTAATTCTTCTATTTTAAAAGTCCTAATATGTTGTCTTAGGTTTTTGTAAATAGCTTGGTTGCAATGAAGCACACATTAAGTGTAGCTTTACAAGGAATGGGGGCATCTAAAGCTGATGATACAAAATGGGTTCCTGTGTGTAGAAGTACTCAGTCTCACACAGAAAGCCTCATGGTTTTCACAGCCTCTTGTGTCTCAGACTCTTTCACCCCATTCCTGAAAACAAGGGCTTGAAAATATTACACAGAAATATCCACCCAAAATAGTGGAAAAATTTGAGAGAACTACAGAGCTTCTGCCAGCAGAGGGAGACCTTGACTTTTACAAGATTGTTTTCGTGGTGAACAGAAGTCCAAACAACAGTAATGTTTCTCAATAGTTTACTACAAAAACATCCCACTGAAAATATTTTTTAACATCTATGTGGCTTAGCTTTACAGCATCTCTTCTTTTCAGCATCATTGAAGAGGTATTTACATCAAACAGTTCAAATGAGACACTAAGGGAAGTCATAGATGGAAATCCTGGAGTGTTTTTTTTGCCTGTTTTGTAGAAAGTGCAAAAATGGGTTTATTTTCCCATGAAATCATGATTTCTGAAATCAATTAGCATCATCAATGATGACAGCTAAATTTCCCAGAAACTTGGGGATATTATGAGAGCTTTTATTTTACAAGGGTGATTATGAGCCCTTAAGGATAAACCAAGATTCTCCGAACATCTTTCTGTTGCACCAGTTTTTATTCACTTTAATTATAAACAGATTCCAACCCAAATGTTCTTTCTTTATTAAAATTATGAAAATATTAAAAATAAATACAGATGGTAGAGAGGATGTCTGTTGTCAGTTGCCATTTTAAACTGCTGCCTATTTTACAGTAATCCTTTTTAGAAACAAATCTTAAGATTTAGAATTCTAGCTGGGTCCCAAACAGCTACTAACATTAACTTTCATCTGTATCTAATAAAGATAGGGAGCTAAGCCCAACTGCAGTGTATTTTGCTCTCCTCTCTCCTCCCATTTTTGTTTCCCAAAATAAATGAAAATTAGTTTACATAAATTTCTAATATAAACTTGAAAGGAATTTAATTATCCAAAGTGAATGTATCTGCAAAATTTTTTCAAATCTATTTTCAGATTTTAATGACTATGGTGGTTTTTTTAATTTCTCCTCATTTTGACAGTATACCCTAATCCAGACCTTCTGTGGCTTAACCACATATTTCTAAGTTAGTATTTTTCTCCTTTACAAAACTTGTCAAAATTCAATGATTATTAGATATTAAGGGAGGAAGTGTTGTATACATTCAAAGAAAAACTTGCAATTTATAACATGTTTTTTAGAATTTGCAATAGTCTCACAAGTAAGTCAAATTAACGGTATACCAGAATATACTCAAGAGGAAATATCTGGTTCTGATGTGACTAGAGAACATAACGTAACAGGCTTGACATCAGGGACCCTTACTGGGCAGTGTGCATGCCTGGCCACACATGACACCCTTGACAAGCACCAGTACCATGATTAAAGCGTGAACTGTGGAGTCAGACTCCCTGGGAGAAGGTCCCAGCTCCACCGCTTTGTAGCTATGTGACCTTGGGAAAGTTACTTAACCTCCCTGCACGCTTGATGCCTCATCTGAAAATGGAGATAGGAAAGGTACTTGCTCATAGGGTTTCTGTGAACATGAAATTAGTTAATGCTGGTAAAGCACCTAGAAAAATACCTGGCAACATAGTAAGTGTCATACAAGTATTTTTCATATTGTATTTGACCTTATTTACCTCCTGAGTGGGGCTGGCTTAAAGGCTGTGCCACCGGTGCAGTCACACAGGGCCTCGTGCTGAGACGGGCCCCGTGCTTGCTCTAAGTCTCTGCTGCTGTCCTCTTGAAATTCTTAGTAACTCTGAAACAAAGGACCCTGCGCTTACCTTCTGCACTCAGTTCAGTCACTCAGTCGTGTCCAACTCTTTGCGACCCCATGAACCGCAGCATGCCAGGCCTCCCTGTCCACCAACTCCCAGAGTCCACCCAAACCCATGTCCATTGAGTCAGTGATGCCATCCAACCATCTCATCCTCTGTCGTCCCCTTCTTCTCCTGCCCTCAATCTTTCCCAGCATCAGGGTCTTTTCCAATGAGTACCTTCTGCACTGGGCCCCAAATATTCGGTACCTGGTCCTGCCCTGGAGGTAGATGGTGTCACTGTCCCCTTCTGCTACATCTGGCTGGGGCTTTAGACAAGAACAGCCTCTGTGTTCTCAACTGTAAACTGTGAGTCTAACTACTGCCCTGACAAGGCTCTTTGAAGAGTTAAGTAAGATAGTATGTAAGCAGTGATTGGCACATGTAAGTTCTCAGAGGTATATTCTGTTCACATTTATCGTGATAAAAATTAACCCAGTGTTTCTTCACTTCTCCTATAAATACATATTCTTGCCTACAGTTACAAGAAAGTTTTCAGTGCAGTTAAAAGTTTGTTGAAAATACAGAATAAAATCATAAAACTCATCTCTGGAAAATTAAGATAGGTTTACGAGAGGAAAAGATCACACCTTTACTGTTATAGATAGGACTTATTAAAATTTGAGGCTTCTGTAAATCGTAAAGCTGAACAAATTCTTTGTTCTATAAACCTAGGCTAGAGAAGAACTCAAGTGACTTGAATTTGGATGAGAACTGATAAAACCCTGGGAAATTTTTCAAGTAAGTATATTAAGAAGTATGCTCAAAGTCAAATCAAAGCACTGAGGAATACATCAACCCAGTATTTATTCATAATAAACATTACCACTACTTTCACAGTGAATGACTGAGGCATGACCTCTACACTATGAAAGCAAAGGAAAATGTGACTAAGAAGAAACTGCTTGATACTTTCATTAATTTGCAATCTTTCAAATTTAGGTTATTATTACTTTTGTTACTGGGGCTTCCCTGGTGGTCAGACGGTAAGGAAACCTCCTGCCATTCGAGAGACTTGGGGTCGATCCCTGGGTTGGGAAGATGCCCTGAATAAGGGAACAGCTGCCCACTCCAGTATTCTGCATAGTCCATTGGGTTGCAGAGTAAGACACGACTGAGTGACTTTCACTTCACTTCTTCACTTTTGTTACTAATAGGATACTTCATGAAGTGATAGGATACTTCATGCCTTAATATTACTTGTACTGTAGAAAGTAAATAAAGCATTTCTGCAGACTTTGATGACATGTGTTAGATGTTTTTTCAAACAAAATTTAAAAGTCAACATACATTCTTCTATGATTTAATTTAAAACACAGGATAGAAATTAATCTCTAAGAGATAAGCCTTCTCAAGAAAATTAGAGTATAGCAGTTTTTGACAAAAAATACAATTATGAAAATTATTAATTATATCTCTATAAAATGAAGAACATTTGCTCTTTGCACGACAGTATCTACTGCTGAAAACAAAACTAATGAAAAGCCTCTTGTGATCACAAGATACATTCTGACATATTTTTATATCCACCCGCCAAATTTTAATTTGTTAGGTAAGTATACTCTGGAAAGATAGTCTGATGATAAGAAGGTCAAAGCTTGAATTTCTGCCTTCATTTTAGAGTCTGCCATTATTTCCATCTGTCAATAAAAGTAAACTATAGTCATACCAGAGTCCTTTGCTACAGTTCTGTCAGCTCAAACTGGTAAATCTAGATTTGTTTTAGTCTCCAACACCATGGGCAATAAACTTTAGGTCAGCCAGAATATTTTAGAGCTGCTACAGCTGAAAATATTAGTATGGATTCCTTCAATAGTTAGGAATGGTCTGGCATCTTTATAATTTCCTTCACTCCTTTTTTCCTTCAAGAACTACGAGAGAACTGTAGACAATGGGTATTTAACTATGATGAGAATAAATTAGGTCAACTCCACCCAGCTAACCTTATCTATTAGCATTCACAATTCAATGTTTCAGCAACAATTTGCTACCAAACAATGCACATGGCAGTTGCTAGTTATATAAAAATTCAAGGATAGCTTCAAAATATGATGCAAATAGCCACTGCTAAAAATAAAAAGCAATAAAACATGACATTTGCATTTTAAAAAGAAACATACTTCTTTTCTCCAAAATGGTTGGCAAGTAATATAAGGTCTCTTTAGGATGCTGTCAAGTTTCATCTGGTCCCGTTTTGTCAGTGGAATTAAAGTACATTTGGGTATATTTAATCTGGGGGGAAAAATAGGTAAAAAAAAAAATCAGTAAAAACAAAGTGCTCCTGTAACTTTAAGGTCACATACATTTCATTTTTATTTATCATGCTATTTCAAAAGACGAAGAAATAACATGAAAAAATCAGTACAGGTTCACTTTTAAATATGGAGTTTGAGGGAATCTGGTATGTCTTCGACCAGGAAGTGTTCAAGATCATAGTGGAGGTCTGTTTCAAATTGTTGTTTTCTTTCATGCCACACTCACAGGATGATGACAGGAAGATAGACATTGGTTATAAAACAAATGCCGGGAGCACTAACATCATGTGTCTCAACACCACGGCTGCCCCCAGAGCACCGCAGTCTTAGAGCAGTGAGTGCCAGTGTGTGTGTGGCCAGCAGCGAGATCCACTGTGGGATTTCAGGTCCCACTGAATCCTTAATTCTTTGAAATTCAATGAGAATTTTCTGGGCCAAGGAAGTTAGTCTATCAATTTTCACTTATGCAGTCATGCGTGCACACAGACGTACGTACACACATCTATCTTATTTCAAATTTTTTAAAAGTGGATTGTAATTTTATCTTGGTATGTGTTTTAAAAATAGAACATGAAAAAAAAAATAGAACATGAGAGGTCCAGGATTTATGCTGTGAATTGCTTTTTGAAGTCACAAATCCTGGATTTCCCAGCAGAGCTCTAGTTTCAAACAGTCTTTCTCAATGTCCCCACAATAATGACTATTTGCCACTGGCAGCTCCTGGATAGGGTGACAATTTGATTGAAAGGGAGGCCTAGAGGATTTCCCTTGAAGCCATGTTTGTGTAGCTATCATGCTATATTTTCTTTGATTGTACATTTATTTAGAGTACATTTATTTTGAGGGCACTGGTGGAATTTATGAGATACACCTAGAGTTTCTTCGTTTTCTGCCTTAATCAGATTCTCTGTCCTAAACTTGTATTAGAAACGATCTCAATACAAATAGATCACCCCCAAGGGATTTTGACCATGATGTATACACTAAACTGAACAAGACTTTGATTCACTACAGCGTAAACATTCGAAAGTCAAAACCTGAATGTTTTCTCTTGTGCCTTCATTTTGTAAGAAGCACTGATCATTCCATTTTTAGAAAATAAGCGCTTTTAACCAAGGTTTGCTCACTGCTTGAAGAAATCCAAATATGTTTAATTTCACTCTCACCTCTCACTAGCCAATTAAAACAATAAAATATCTTAAAATATCACATTAGCAGAGATGAATAAAGTGATAATGTCTTATGCTGAGGGGCAGGTGGGCTCTTACTCTCCAGGGAAGACAAAATAATTAACCTATCCAGAGGGCAGCTGAAGCCTTAAAAATGTGCATACCCTTTGACCCAGCAATTCCGGGAATTCAGCCTATGGGACTAATTAAGGATACAGGCAAAGATTCAGTCACAAGAGGGTCGGTCAGAGGACTATCTTTCAAAACAGAGATTTGGAACCCATCCAAAAGTCCAACTACAAGGGACTGACCAAATAGACACACTCAGAATTGAAACCAAGTGGAAGAAAACATTCAAATAAGATCATAGGGATGTATTTATTGATAAGGAAGTGCAATTACATTGTGTTGTAGGAGAAAAGATTACAAAATCAAGCTCTTTCAAATTCTTTTGGAAGAAATTATGGCAATGCACAGCAAATAATCTACAAGGGCAGAACTGTTCGTCTATAGGTGACTTTTATCCTGTTACTTAATGATATTTTTTTCTATAACGAATACATATATCTTAAAACTGACAAAATGTGGATCCCCCAACTTTAAGTAATCTTAAAATGAGATTTTTAAATGAAATTAAGAACCTATGATAAAATCAATTCAGATGGCAAATGGTGTTGTCAATGATTACTATTTAGATTCAATGTCTTAATACTTTGTAAGTATAAAGAAATTATTAAAGACTTTAACCATAAGGGTAAAACAAAAAAGTCTTCTAACTAGCTAAAGGCTCAATTAACCAAATATATTTAAGTATTTTAGTAGTTGAAACAGAAATATTGATAAATTAAATTTATAATGATATGATCCTGAGTTATCGTGAACAACATAAGTAAAAAACAGTAAGCACTTCTCCTGGCAGTAACTCTTCAGGCTGAGTGCTACATGTTACAGTGAGTCATCATTTTAAATACCCTCATTCTGCCAACTGTCTAACCTTTTGATATCAGAAGGAAGGAGACCAAGCCATCTAATAGCTGGAACTGTGAGATTATGGGCTTCAAAAGACATAGCCTAAAATAAAGAGCAGAAGTATATTAGCTAAACCTTTTGCAGAGAACTAGCAATACTTGTTTTTGCAGCAAATTTTTTTCAACTTATTAAGGACTAGTACTGAAGACTTCACACTCCCTGAGGCCACAGAAGTAAGAAAATCACCAAGAGCTTAGCTAAACTGGACTTTCAGTGGAGGTTTTAAAACTGCTCTATACTATTTGTGTTGATTTTCTATAACATGAAAGTACAAATGACCCTCTCTGACCCAAATTTATTGTCGTTTGTGATTCCACACCTTAATCCCTTGCTCCACCATCCTTTTCTTCTGCTATAAACATACATATCAGGGACACTCAAAGTGTATACCAGTGGTTCCCAAATTTAACCATGAGTCAGGAACACTTGGAGGGCCCACCCTTAGAATTTCAGACTCAGGAGGTCTGAATGGGGACTGAGATTTGCATTTCTAACAACTTCCCAGGACCACATTTTGAGAACCACTGATGTGTAGCAGTTGCCGTGCCTAGTGGTAAAGTTTGGTGGTCTTTTCATTTCTCCTGATGGTTGGAATTGGAAAAGTCAGAATTCAAGACTATATATAATTTTCAGGGTATAATTGGTAATCAGTGTTGTTATGCTGAGGGCTTGCCGTTACTTCAGCAGGCCAGGAGAGTGGAGGATAATTAAGGCCTCTTGCCCGAAGGTAATCCCACTCTGTCATCTGCAGTCACACTGGTTATGCTGGAAGCTGGAATCATAAACTCTGAAACAGAGCAGCCCTAGACTAGGACAGTAGCTTCCCTGGTACCTTTTGGGCGCCCTCAGCTTACTAGGGGCTGATAAGTAAATGCAGAAATCACTCCAGTGAATAATACAAACTATCTCAATAGTGGAAAAGGAAAAATATTTTTCTATACTTACCATAGATCCATACTTATAGATACACATTATCTCTATGCCTGTTAAAAGAAAGTTAACTTTGAAATTTGTCTTCTTGTGTATTAGAGTTAGATAATTATATCTAACATCTGCAATTTTTATTTTTGTGGACAATACCAGTGGAAAATTTAGGGTTCAGTTTAATACAGTAAAAAACAATAAATGTCCCAAGTGATTAGTCATTCATTTAAATCTAATAATCATATTCTTTTAAAGTATTTTATGAAAGTGTTCTATGAGGAGAAGAACACAGCTATAAATATGATTTGATTATGACTATTTCAGATAGTCTAACAATAAATTACCATGTGGATCAGCATCTACCAGAGTGAAAACAGGAATGTGAAATGTATCCCACAACTTCTTGACTAGAAGTCTTGTGTTCAGATCAGGCACCCCCTTTCCCTAAAAGCAAGGATTGAAATCATGCATTTTAATTTCAGTAGAATGAAACTGATGACACTGTATCCTTATTTTATTATTAACATAAATATCTTCATAACTCGACTTAATTATCCCAGGTCTATGTAAATATTTTAGCAGAAACAGAAGTAATAAAAAATGTGACATACATAAGGATGTCCACTGCAGTGTTACTTAAAAGGACAGAAACCACAGTAAATATCCAAAAGATCTAACAACAGGCAGCACAGCACAGTGGTGGCATGCATCAGCTTCAGAGCCGACTGCCTGCGCAGGCGTCTGGCTCTGCTGCTTCGTAGCAGCAGGGACCTTAACAGTCATGAAAACTCTCTGAGGTTTGGGGCTTTGTAATAACACCTTCTAATATTATTATAGGAACTAAGTTATTTAATAATTATTAAAGCATTTAAAAATATCTGGTTTAAACTCAGGATTTAATAAAACCAAACAGTAGAATAGTATTATGAAGTGATTAAAACAATAATTATGTAGAAAAATAATTTGAAGAGCATTACATAATGTTAAAAGAGAGAACAGGAAACCAAACGAAATGTGGAACAGGGAGGAAGCAAGTAGAGATGAGAACGGGCTTTTGATGGGAGAGCCCTGAGTCTCAATTCCCTCTCCACCAATCACTAGTGGGTTTCCTAGTCTCTTTAGGCTATGGCTTTATTTATAAAACTGGGCTAAATATGCCTACCACCCAGAGTTATGGCACTGCAGCAATGTGGAGTTGAACTATCTTAATCCCAGTACTAGTTTTTTTTTTTAATATGTATTTATTTAATTTACTTATTTGACTGTGTCTGGTCTTAGTTGCAGCACACAGGATCTTTTGTTGTGGCACTTGGGCTTTGTTGCCCTGTGGAGTGTGGGATCTTAGTTCCACGACTTGGGATTGAACCCACATCCCCTACACTGCAGATTCTCAATCATTGGACCACCAGGGGAGTCCCTCTCCAAGTCCTAGTTTTGACCAGCCTTGAGATCGTGGTAAAACACCTTCCTGGGTCCTGGTGTCCTGTTGTTAAAATGGGGATGATAACACCTACCTCATAAGGCTGGAGAGACTTTACAAGTTGATATGAGGGCATGAAGAGAAGGGGGCAACAGAGGATAAGATGGTTGGATGGCATCACTGACTCAACGGACATGAGTCTGAATAAGCTCTGAGAGACGGTGAAGGAGAGGGAGCTGGTGTGCTGCAGTTCATGGGGTCTGAAAGAGTCAGACACAACTGAGTGACTGAACAACAAACAACACAGAAAACGGCAGTAAATGTGAACCCTTATTATGTAAAGTGCCTAGCAGAGTTCCTGGTGCATCACGAATACATAGTGAATGGTAGTGTACTTTAATTGTTTCCTTTGGGAGAGATAACCCATATGTGTGGTAGAGGAGTCAGACAGTACCAAAGATTCCTTCCTAGCCCAACCCTCAACTCTCAGTTCCCCTCTGCAGGGGCAGCTACTACAGGCCAGCTTCTAGTGGGTGTTTCACCATAGTAACAACAGCAGGTATCAATGGATGCCATGACAGCACCAACATGTAGGCAGACAAAGACTAGAAGGCAGCATTCAAGAGGAAAGACAAGGTAAAAAGAGAAATGTGACCAAGAGCTGAGCTTTATGTGCATCTCCAGTGCACTAGTACCAGCTGTGATTCAAACTCCAAGGGCTGAAACGGAGGCCTGGGCCACTGTTGGTTTCTTTGTCTATAATGGCTTGTCTTCTGATCAGCCCAGCAAACATGCACTCTCACCAGGAAGGTGTGAAAGAGCAGGAGGACTCCACCAAAAGTGAACCACAGGACAACGCCACTGAGAGATCACTTCAGGGGTTCAGCTATGGCCTTTATTACTGACAAGGTCTCAGTGTACACTTTCTGTCACAACTGTTCTCCCCTCTCTTCAAACTGAGCACATGCCACTAGGATCTCCTCTTATCATCTCAAATTTTTATCTCTAAGACGACATTCAACATCTTTTTTCTACGAAGAACCAAGCCTCCTGTGCCACTTGTTCTATAGCATCCATGGGGATATCGTAGTAAAGCTCCACACAATAGAGTCGTTTGGACTCCTTCCTCTCATCCCGTGGTCATCACGTCCTTTTAAACTTGCCTTGGAAATGTCCTTCGCTTGAGTCCTTTCTCTTTAACCATTTCCCTGGCAACCTGCCACCAAGGTAACTACCTGAGAGCCTCCAGACAGGATCCCTGAATCCAGTTGTCTCCCTATCCATCTAACTGATGATGCTACCACACAAATCCTTGTCATTTCCTTTCTCACTTTTGTTAACACTTGATATTTTTGTACTAAATCAGGATGCCTCCTGGGGGTGGCCAGGCCTTCCAAGATGCCAACAGCTGCCCAACATCCTGCTCCCTCGGCAGGGCAGCTCTCCTCACTGCTTCCAAAAACATAACTTACAAGCATCATACTTACTACTAGTAAGCCAGGAGAACTGTAGGTAGATGAGCTTTTTTTTCCTTCAGAGAACTAGGTCTTGATGCAGACCTGTACGAGTGGAGGAAGGCTGGCACAGGAGGGGGAAGCTGATGTGTCTGCTGCCCTCCCATCATCTCGCTGACCCACACCCCGGCTTCCTGTACTGCCGCCTCTTTCTCCCCAGGCCAGCAGACGTCATTGGTCTCCCCGGGTTTATGAACCTCCCACATTACCCTTTGCTAATTATTGCCTGTAGTTCTCTGTATTACCTCAACATATGCTTCTGTGTTCTCTGCTCTTCTTTCAACAGCATACAAACCGTGTGAGGAAGAACAAGGAGTAGCTCTTGTTCATTCAACCCTGTCAAAGCTCCCATGTTACCATATTATAGTCAAGACAAGTAGCCCCTGTGGGAATGGTGTGAGGGTGATACTGAGAGCCTATGTAAACTTACATTTTTATTAGAAAATCTGGTATTTAAGAATCGGGACCATCACCTTGATTTCAGTCAGATTTGAGGATGGTTAAATAAATGCCTCAGAAATTCTTGTTCTGTAATCCCAAAGGATGCTTCATAGTGACAAGAGAATGCTGTTCAAACTCACAGATGATGTTATAAACCACTCTTGTGTGTATATGTGCTTCAGTTGTGTCTGACTCTTTCCAATTCCATGGACTATAGCCCACCAGGTTCCTCTGTCCTCGGGACTTCTCAGGGAAGAATACTGGAACAGGTTGCCATTTCCTACTCCAGGGGATCTTCCTGACCCAGGGATATAACCCATGTCTCCAGCATTGGCAGGCAGACAAACCGCTCTTACTGATCACCAAAGTAGCCCATTAGTCTAGTAATTGAGGTCAAAGTAGATAATATACCGTAACCATGATGCATGGAGACATTTTGTTGCAAAAGTTGTCATCCAGGAGGCGCTGAAATGTTGCATCTTTTTCTACAATTAGCAGAAATTTTGCGTCCGTAATTAAATCTGTGAAGTTAAGGCTGATAAATTTAAGGCATGTGTGTTTCAACTGAACCAGTAATTGTAAGTAACAATGCCATATCAATCAATTCAAAAGTAGCTACAGATATAGAATTTTTGTTTTTACCTTCACAGGTCAGATACCTAGTCTCTTCCAAGGCATCTTCCCAACCCAGGGATCAAACCTGCTTCTCTTGCTTCTCCTGCATTGGCAGTCAGATTCTTTACCACTAGCTCCACCTATTCACACACAGTATTTACATATCTGTCTTTGTTACTAGATAGTGAGCTCCTAAAAATATCCTAGAAAAGGGAGCATGGTATGTTCATCTTGACCAATAGAGGGTATGGCTTACTGGTTACATATTATGAGGGCTTGATTTATTAAAGTAAAAATGAATGAACATTCTGTAAGTTTAAATAGCTTTCTCACTCAAAGGATACTCTGAATTCCTTGAATATTAGATGGCACAGCAACAGCCTAAGTTAACAAGAGGAGACAGTTTTTATTTTAAATAAATAGCAAATATAACAACATTTGGGCTTCTCTGGTGGCTCAGACGGTAAAGAATCCACCTGCAATGTGGGAGTCCTGGGTTCGATCCCTGGGTTGGGAAGCTCTCCTGGAGGAGAGCATGGAAACCCTCTTCAGTATTCTTGTCTGGAGAAGAGTCTGGCAGGCTCTTCCCTTCTCCAGGAGAAGAGTCTGGCAGGCTCTTCCCTTCTCCAGGAGAAGAGTCTGGCAGGCTATAGTCTGTGGGGTCGCAAAGAGTTGGACATGACTAAGGAGTAAGCAAACATACACAATAACATTTTAAAATGTATCAAGAACACTTTTTGTTGTTGTTTAGTCACTCAGTTGCAACCCCCATGGACTGTACCTCACCAGGCTCCTCTGTCCATGGGATTTCCCAGGCAAGAATATTGGGAGTGGGTTGCCATTTCCTCCTCCAGGGGACCTTCCCAAGCCAGGGATTGAACCTGTGTCTCTGAGTCTCCTGTATTGCAGGTGGATTCTTTACCACTGAGCCACTGGGGAAGCCCTATATTTTCATTTTTAAAAAATACACTGTCATCAGAAGTCTACGCCTCAGTAAGAAAATAGTAGGACACAGATTTACTTTTCAATAAGAAAAGAGACATACAACCCAAACTACTTCCCAGCAGGTGAAAATTTCTTGGAAACTTTATAGATGTGTGGCTTAAAAAGCAGAAACTGATGAAGGAAAGACTTCCTTATATAGAATCTCATAGGTGTCATTCTCCTCTTTCCAAAATGGTGAGTTAACCATTTCCAAACTTCTGTGCTAGTTCTGTGACTTTCCATGTACTAAAGCCTAGCAAACACTTTAGTCTCAAACTTACAAATTTCAGAACCAGAAAATTTTATGAAGATACATAAATAGCCATGCTAAAATGGTCAAGTCACATTCTGCCTGAAAACAGTGCATTTAAAAAAGGAATGTGTATGTTTGTTTATTTCAATATGACATCTGACAATTGGCATATTTGGAAACTGGGTAATGTACAACCCCATAAAGCATATACCTATTCATCCTTTCATTTTTATTTAAAGTCTTAAACTCTGAACTACATAACAAAGCCAGTCAATAAAGTGCATTTCAAACACAAAGGAGTTTGAAATGGAGTGGAAGCACGTGAACACATTATGATGCTTACTGTTGCACGTGTGCAGTTCACCTTGGTGCCGTCTTCCTCGAGGTACTTTAAATCGCCAGCAATTAAACCTTTTGATGTAGACAGCTGAAAAAAGTAATAGTCATCTATGAAACCTTTTTCTCGAGTGCATTTTATACTTCTAAGTCCCTTCTCATGTTCACCTGCTAAATTATATAGGCATTTTGGATCAGACCGGAATTTAAGAAATAAAGGAGAAAATATGTAAGCGTTTATGAATGAAAAGTGTCTGACAATTCATCAGTTTTGCTTCCTTTAGCCAAGGGGATATACTGAGACTAGATTATTTAAATTCATAGTGAGAAAAACATAATATCAAAAATATGAAAAGAAGGCACAGGTTACATTTATTCTATTTTCATACATTTTGTGTTAAAATATCTTGTATTAAATGCTACTTACTATATGCAGACTCCTCCTCGGCACTTTTAACATACAGGAAATATCATTGATAATATTGTCCACAACAGTCTGGTTACCAAAGAGTTGGCTGTCAGTGTAATAAATGTCTCTGTGAAAATTTTTAAAATATATATTTTAATTGACCATATTTTCTCTGAATATGATAAATATTGGAATACTAACTGAAGAAAGCTTTGAGTGGGTGTAAACAAATAATTTATTACCCACAGTCTAGTTTTATGTAACTTTTCAAAACATATAATGAAAGTCAATCCCACTTAACCTCACAACACATTTCAAAGAGTAATTTATTAGAACAATGTACTTACCTTTTGGTTGCATAAGTGTTGCTCTGTACTAATTTATAAATCATGGAAAATATTTTAAGAATTAGTGCTGGAAAATAAGATGGAGTAAGTGAGTTACTCATCACTTACAAAAATCAAAACATTCTGTGATCAAGGATTAACTCTCTCCAGTTACTTTCCACAACATTATAAAAATTATCTTTCCAAAAGAGAAGTGTAAAGTACAGAATGATAATTGTCTACAAGTTAGATAAAATTAAGTGTTCTATGTACAGCAAAATTGAAAGAATATTTTTCCATTGAATCATATACTTAAACATTCATTTTGGAATAATACTTTACTTCCACATTTATTGACAATGCAAAATTCTACAAATTTATTTCAAGTACAGGATGGCCTATTAATGAACAAGTAAAATAATTTAGCTCAGAACAACTATGACCCAGAAAGTAATCAAAATTATTTATTTTACCACTAAAAGCTATGAAAGATGAATTTACCAAAATTTTTAACTGATTTTGGTGAATCACTTTTGATTTTTCTTGTGGTACAATGAGATACCATGTGAAGACCCACAGAATCTTCAAACCTGTCATTTTGTTTAAAGCAAGGGAATAGAATAAAAAAGAGTTAACTTCTGAACACCAAACAACATACAATATATGTCCTCTTCTGAACATCATTTAAATCCACATTTCTTCTCAATGTGAGCACTGAAGTTTTAGGATAACCTCGTTTATAAGCTTAGATAATTCCAAGTGCTAATCAGGTAATTATCTTTGCAACATACAGAGGCACTAAAAGAGTGTTTAAAATACATGAATTAAACACCTTTGATTATAGTGTGTGTGCATGTGTGTGTATTCTTTCCTGGGAAGACATTTAGGGTATGTGAACTATTATAAATTATTTCACAATTTTATTAGAATTTTGCTTATTGATTTAATACTTTTATTCAATTTAATACTAAGATTTGAAATATTTCATTTAATTTACCCCCAAAGTTACAGTAATGAAATAAGTTTATACTCGGTTGTTAAACTGAACTGCCAAGCCTGTCCTAAAGATGGCAGAAGGCACCAGGCAAACAGGCCAGGTGACAGCTGCTTCAAGGCTTGGTGAAATCCACCTTGCAAAATATGATTCAAAAGTTTACAGTTTCACTAATTATATTGATCATAAAAGAATAATGAATGACTAAAGAGCCTTAAGATTTCTTTAATTCTTTTCCTGTAACTCTTACTGAGGACTAATCTTGCAGTGTTTTTCATTGTTTAGTGAAAAGTGTCTACAGGTTGAGGACCTGAAAGAATCAAACTATATAACTAGATTCCAAGACTCTGATAAAGCTGTTTGCTGATTTTACCCTCTTGGGGACATGACTTCGCAGGGGGAGATCTGCTAAGAGAATGAACCATCGCAATGTGTTCTGTGCTCAGGATACATTTATTTTGGTCTCAATATCAGGGCTGGTTATAGCTCCCCTGAGCAAGTGGTTTGCTTCTGCAGTACAGATAAGAATTCTGATGGTGATATTTTCCCCTTTGAGTGCTAGAAAGCTTAGATCCAAGGCTGGAGCCTATTTTTAGCAGGACTCTAAGACTTTATCATATGCATTTTGAATTCTAACTTCTTTTGGTGCTCCATTTTTTTGTTCCTAGCATTGTTTTCCCTTTGCCTTATCTTTCACACCTACTTCTAGTTTATATAACCTGCCTGTATGGTATGTATTTTATAAACTTCCTTAATTCCTTTTTGGCAGGGTAAAGGCAACAAATAGAATTAAATCCAACTAGAACTCTAACTCAAATAAATTCTAATAATGACTTAGATAATGCACTTAAAAATTTAAAAATGCAAAATGCCCACTTTATATTTTCCCAGCTTGATCTGTTGTCTATTGTGAATGCAGGCGCTTCATTTCTTGCCAAGCTTGTGACTATGTCTTGGATAATTTTTTCTATAGATGAAAGAACCTCAGAACTGAAACAATAAACACACAATGATTCAATCTTAATTCTAAATTAGACCTTTACAATAGGTAACATTTCCCCAGAATATTAATTTTTTGTTTCATTGGTGATTCTTTAAGACTAGATGATACATGTCAATATTCTCTCCCACTAAATTTTAACATGAGTAATACATTAAAACAATTGTATTTATAGTGGTGGATTTCAAAGAAACTTCATCTGCTTCTAATTTTACTTCTCAATTACCAACTTAAAAGTACTATCTCCCTTTTAATGACCAATTTATAAATACATTGATATAAATGTATTGATATAATGTATTGATATAAATACATTGATCTTCATATCAACCTACTTTAAATACAAACTCATTGACTTGAAATACTACTGATAAATCTTTTAATTGATGTAATACTGGCTTTCAATTTATTTCCCCAAATGCAATGTGAAAATATTTCAAAAAAACAGGTCTTACTATAGTATGTTACCCTAATTGATGTCATGCCATAAGTCAGCCCTTTTGAATTTTAGTGATACGAAAAGAAAAAAGTTTAATCATTACCATAAAAGGGCTTGGCAACTACTACACCACAGAAAATGATTAAGACTTAGCACAGTTTTCCATCAGCTGACTCTTAATTTCACAAGCCATCAGCTTCAAAAAATGTTATTCTGTTATAAACACCATAAAAATATTGCCTAGGAAGGAAAATCATATTAAATCTAGAAAATGCACAAAATGTAGTGTTCTAATTTCCATAAAAACTTCACAGCTTTCATTGAAAATGCATGTATCAGAAAATAACTTTTAAAACATTCAATATTTTCTAATTTTGGGAGCAAAACTGATTCAAGTATCTTATTCATTTTTCTAGTTTGGAAAAGAAGCTTTAACGTTATGACTGACTTTAAAACAATCAGATTTACATCTGAAACCTAAACAAGGGACTGCCACCCCCTTCTTTTACCCTCTTCTAGTACTCTCTTAACTAAAACATATTGTAAAATTTGTTTTGTCGCTTTCTAGGGTGTCTTGTTTTTTTTGGTAGTTGGTCTGGGCTTAAATGACAGTAATTTGTTTAAGTGAAAAACCTTGCTGATAAAACTAGAAAAGCAGATCAAGAAAGCAGAACAACAGAGCATTTTAAGTGAAAGTGGTGAATAATGTAATATTTCCTGCAGTTAACTCCAGGTTGGGCAGCTGGAGAATCTCTGTAATTGATTTTATCAGCACCACACTCTTAAGCTAAACTCTTAACTGCTTTAACTGATTTAAAGAAATGTGTATTTTCTTCCTTTTCAGGTCCATAAATCCCATTGTCTTACTATAAACCACTTAAAATGTGTTGACTTCCGCATTCATTTTGATAAAACACACTTATTAAGAACTCACAACATTGATTTCCCCCACCTTTCCTTCAAAAAAAAAAAACTTGAAAACGTCTAAATTTTCACAACTTTTAAAAAATAAACACCAAGCCAAACTGCGACTTAAACTCCTCAAACTGTCCAGATCTCAGGAAACCCGTGACCCCAGGTGTGGGGATGCTCCTGGAACATTCTAGAAGACACAGCGGGGGGTGGGGGGGCTGTGGGGGTGGGTTGTAGGCGCGGCTGGCACCGGGCTTCTTGAGTTGAGAATAAGAAGAAGTAGGGGGCACTAAACAAGGGCCTTTCTTGGCGTTCAGGGCTGGTGGGCCAAACAGGCCTCCGTGGCCTCAACATTCTGAGGTGGCCTTGCTCCCCAGATTGGGGAGACGGGAAGGGGGTCCAGCATTTCTCCACAGGGCACCTCAAGCCTGGCTGGGCAGAACCTTCTTGCTCCCTAACTCCCAGCCGTCTGTGCCCCAGAAAGAGCCCGTATACCTAGAAGCCAAGCGCATCCCGCTTCCCGCGGGCTCCTCACCGCCTCTCCTCAGGGCAGCCAGTAGGGAAGCCCTGTGCTGGTCCAAAACCTCGAAAAACGAGGCCTCGGGGCCCCTGGGCGTAAAGGCCATAAGGACCGACTGCAACAAAAGCGTCCAACAACAGGAGCTCCACCTGGCCTGAGATCACCCTTCTCTGTACCCACAATGCACTTCCAGGGGTGGGGCCTGGAAGGACAGAGCTCCTCTCCCGAGCTGGGGGGGCCGGACTGCGCATGCGCACACCTCACCCCCAGGTGGGGCTGGACTAATGCACGTGCACAGCACTTGCACTGAGACATGTGTGCGCAGGGCTCTATCAGGTGCAACCTCACCTGGGAGACGAAGTGATGGGCCCCTTCCCGGGTACCTTCTGACAAGCCTCAGGGACCAGCAGGATATATCTGGGATGTGGGACCGAGATTTGAGACCTTGAAATGGTTTTATATCTCCTTTTTTTGGCTAGTTAGGGAAAGTCGTATCAGTGATTTTTCACTAAAACAAGTAGTTATGGCTATCCAACTGTGTATCAGACACAGTTCTAGGCACTGGGTTCAGATGAGGATCAAGGCAAACGATACTTCTGCCCTTGCTAGCATTTATGCAGTAGCCGAGAGCTTAAAAACCCATTTCATTCAGCCTCTCCCTTTAAACTCTCATAACCACACCAGTGGGGATTTTGCAAGAGAGGAGAAAGCGGTCCACAAGCCCAGGCAAGCCTGGGTTAACATCCCAGCTCCATCACTTTGTTGGCCTGCCAGATTTTGCAAATTATAACACAAGACCCTCAGTTAAAGTTGAATTGCAGATAAACAGTGAATACTTTTTTTAAGGATAACTTGGTCCCATGCAATCTGTGGGACACTCTTTTACTAAAAAATTATTTCATTGTTCACCCAAAATTCTTATTTAATTGGTCATCCAGTATTTTAACCTAGCAATCCTCCCCTTGCAGATTTGAACTGAGCCTTCACTCCTACTCTCTTCTAAAGACAGAAATTCTGAAGCCTCAGGGAAGGAGTGCTGCCCCTGGGGGACAATTTCCTTGAGGGAGAGGAAACAGGGAGAGGCCCTGGAGCAAGGTGGAGCTGGGGCCTCCCTAGGGAGTAGGAGGCAGGATGGTGTCCTGGGGTCTTGGCCCCAGAAGAGCCACCTGACAGCAGGCCCTCTCCAGGGAACTGTTTTGTTCCCTCAGTTCCTGGTCATTTGATCCTGTTAAAACAAAACTTGCTTCCCACCATAAATAATGAACTCCCTGTGTTGATAATGATGACTCTGTACCAAGCCCAGTGCTGAGGGCCTTTATTATTATCAACACTAATACCTCCTCACTGCCTACCTTGCACTAGGCAATTGTAGTCTGCCCTAGGCAATTGTAGTTACTGAGGGCACGTCTGTGAGCAAGGCGCGCAGTCCTTGCCCTTAGGGGACTCACAGTCTAAGGGGAAGGGGGAAATTGAGGAGAAATAGGTGGACACCGAAATAATTGAGGGCGAGCTGTACATTTGAACCAACAACCCTATGCAGTAAAAATTATTCTATCTGTTTCACAGATGAAGAAACTAAGGCTTGGAGAGCCGGAGCGGGTTGTGCAAGACTGCATTGTGATCAGCATGATTAAAGGTAAATCTCGACTCCAAAGTGGAGCTCTGACCATTAGGTTATGAGGCACCACTGAGGGTCTGGCTGGAAATGAGTCATAATTTTGTGAGGGTGTCTTTGGTGGTGGAATTGCCCCTCCGGGCTCAGGTTTCTCACCTTTCAGATGAAGGCTTTGCAGCAGGTGGGTTCTCCATGAGAAATAAACAAATAAAAGGTCTTTAAATGGTGAGACTGAGTGGGGTGCCTGTTTCCCAGGACTGGAACCATCTGACCACTGGTCTCTGTCCCTTAGGAGGGCAACCCTTCTGTATCACATAGCACTAACACTTAGCCAGAAGCCAGTGGCCTCTCTAGACCTGACATGAAATGAAAGGTCCTGAACTGGGTGGGGGCCGGGGCAGGGGATCAAAACAGTGAAGGGAACAAACCCATGATAAAGCTGGCCTTCCTACAGGCAGAAACTGCAAGGTGCAGACTTGAAAGGGCCTCTCTGGATTCTCCCTGCATGGATCAGAAGGGGTGGCCTGAGCCCTCCTCCCAGGCAGCACATCCCTGCCCTCAGTTATCCACCTCCACTCAGGTAACCTGCGTGCACCTCCTTTACATCAAAGTGAACTGGCCCAGCCCTGAGCTGAGAGGAAAGCAGAAAAACAGATTCCACCCCTCGAGACAGATTGCAGAGGAAACTTGCAGGTGCCACTTTGCAGGGCAGTCCCAACACCAAGTTCTTTGCTCCTGCTGGCCCGCTGCGCTCAGCACAGGGACGAGGGTCGGGGTCAGGGAGCTCCCCAAACTGCATTCCAACTACACACAGTTAGAAAAGTGAAGAGCTTTTCCCCAAACCTTACTTGCAGGTCTTTCCTCCAAGCTCAGCCTATCAGTCAGAAATGTGTTTGAGGACCAGCAGCTTCACGATGGTTGGAAAGAGCATCATTTAAATTAGATGCAGTGATCATTTCCGTGTCTAATGCACCAAGAGGTGGGGAAGGATGGGGAGGCCCTTTTGGCAAACCAGACAGGAGAGGATCCTGTGCTTGGTACATTTAAACAAAGTGGTTTTTTCCTTAAAGCAAATGTGAATGAATTTTAACATCTTGTAGAATTTGAGAGGAGAGTAGAGAAAGTGCTATAATAATTTCTTTACTACTTGGGGCTTTATAAGGTGTTTTACTTTTGTGTGTATATTTTAAAATTTTTAAAAAATTGTAAGAATGATACATGCTTCCATAAAATATTTACATAATTCAGAAGGTATGAAGTTAAAATGAGCAAACTGCAACTCCATTGCCCTGTGTCCTGCTCGGTACTCTGTAATCCTTCTGACCCTGGAATTAGTCCTTCTTGCCCTGAGGGCCTTTGCACTTGCTCTTCCCTTAACAGCCTGGAATGCTTTGTCCTCTTTTCTCTCTGTGCTTTCTGCCCTCCCTCCCTAAATCCAGCCTGGCTTGTTCTCCTGTGTCCTTCAGATCTGGTCTGGACCCCTTTCCACACTGCCCCTAAGTCTTGACCCCTGCTTTTTCCTTGTCTTGACATGCCTTCCTTTCTCCTCCCTGGGGAGCAGGCGCTGAGCTCAGCCAGTGGTCCCAGTTCCTCTGCGCCTGACACAGGGAAGATACTCAGCTGTGCTTGTTGAATGAAGGAATGACACCCTGAGGTATTTATCTCTGTAATCTCTCTTTAGTATTTCATCCAGTCATCTTTCTACAGATGTCTAAAGAGGCATCATTTTTTAAAATAATTTTATTTCTTTATTTTTTGGCTGTGCTGGGTCTTTGTTGTTGTGTGGGCTTTCTTTCTAATTGTGGCAAGTGGGGGCCACTTTGTAGTTGTGGTGTGCGGGCTTCTCATTGTGGTGGCTTCTTCTCTTATGGAGCATAGGCTCAAAGGCTTCAGCAGTTGCGACTTCTGGGCTCTAGAGCACAGGCTCAGTAGTTGTGGCCCACGGGTTTAGTTGGTCCAAAGCATGAGGGATCTTCCCAGATCAGGGATGGAATCCATGTCTCCTGCATTGGCCAGTGAATTCTTTACCACTGAGCCACCAGAAAAAGTGAAAGTGAAAGTCGCTCAGTCTTGTCGGACTCTGCGACCCCACGGACTATACAGTCCATGGAATTCTCCAGACCAGAACACTGGAGTGGGTAGCCTTTCCCTTCTCCAGGGGATCTTCCCAACCCAGGGATCAAACCCAGGTGTCCCACATTGCAGACGGATTCTTTACCAGCTGAGCCACAAGGGAAGCCCACGAATACTGGAATGGATAGCCTATCCCTTCTCCAGGGGATCTTCCCAACCCTGGAGTTGAACCAGGATCTCCTACATTGCAGGCAGATTCTTTACCAACTGAGTTATGAGGGAAGCCCAGCACAATTTTTTAATATGAACAAGCCTCTACTGTGAATTATTCTGGTGTTGCTGCCACTGGTCATAACATCAAACATGCAAAATCTCATTTACTCCTTCCCATTTTAGGAGAGAAAGTTGAAGCTCTGAGAAATATAAGTGAATTTGCTGGGTTTTCTGGAGATGCAGATGACAAAACATGGACAGGAATAGTTTCTCAGCTCTCAGCCAACACATGATATTGCCTCTAAGTCAAGGTAACTTAGTGCTGATGAATAAATTCACACATTTTTCATAGCCAGTGATTGTATACCTGGCTGTAGGTTATAAGGCAGAGCAATGAAATAAAGTTAAATTGTATTTTATTAACAGCCCCAAAATATTTGTAAGTCTGTAGGTCATTTTACTGATGAAGTCATGCTTGTTTTTAGGGAGGGGCTATGTAATCCACTCCCATAGACCCAACACCAGCTACCGTGATTGATCAACCAGGAGTTTGTTTGGATTTTCCCATAAAAACCCAAACAAACATTTTGGCCAATCCAGTACATCCTCCCCTCCCCCACCCTCATTCCAGATTATTTAGAAGCAAATCCTGGGCATCGTATTACTTCATCCACAAGTATTTGAACAAATATCTCTGAAAAATAAGGATCCTTTAAAAAATAACCATGATCCATTATCATATCAAAACTTGACTTCACAATCATCCTTTCACATCACGAATTTGCTATCACTGTTGAAATTTCCCAGCCATTTCATGAATTGTTCTTGTTAAAATGCAGACAGGGTACATCTTTGCATGACTGTGGATTGATATTTTTCTCATTGCTGCTGTTGCTAAGTCATGTCCAACTCTTCAAGACCCCATGGACTGCAGCACACCAGACTTCCTTGTCCTTCACTATCTCACTGAGTTTGCTGAAACTCATATCCATTGAGTCAGTGATGCCATCCAACCATCTCATCCTCTGTTGCCCCCTTATGCTCTTGCCCTCAATCTTTCCCAACATCAGGGTGTTTACCAGTGAGTCGGCTCTTCATATCAGGTGGCCAAAGTATTTTAACTTCAGTTCAGCACCAGTCCATCCAATGACTATTCAGGGTTAATTTCCTTTAGGATTGACTGGTTTGATCTCCTTGCAGTCCAAGGGACTCTCAAGAGTCCCCCTGCTCCAACACCACAGTTCAAAAGCATCAATTCTTTGGCACTCAGCCTTCTTTATGGTCCAACACTCACATCCATACATGACTAGTGGAAAAACCATAGCTTTGACTGTATGAACCTTTGTTGGCAAAATGATGTCTCTGCTTTTTAATATACTGTCTAGGTTTGTCATTGCAGTCTTCCAAGGAGCAAGCATCTTTTAATTTCATGGATGCAGTCACCATCTGCATTGATGTTGGAGCCTAAGAGAATGAAATTTAACCCTGTTTCCACATTTTCCCAATATATTTGCCTTGAGGTGATAGGACCAGATGCCGTGATCTTCATTTTTTGAATGTTGAGTATTAAGCAAGCTTTTTCACTCTCTTCTTTCACCTTCATCAAGAGACTCTTTAGCTCCTCTTCACTTTCTGCCATTAGAATGGTATTATCTGCATGTCTGAAGTCATTGATATTTCTCCCAGCAATCTTGATTCCAGCTTGTGATTCAGCCAGCCTGGCATTTCCCATGATGTACTCTGTGTAGAAGCTAAATAAGCAGAGTGACAATATACAGCCTTGACATATTCCTTTCCCAATTTGGAACCAATCCGTTGTTCCCTATCTGGTTCTAACTGTTGCTTATTGACCTGCATACAGATTTCTTAGGAGGCATGTAATGTGGTCTGGTATTCTCATCTTTTTAAGAATATTCCACAGTTTGTCACGATCCATACAGTCAAAGACTTTAGTGTAGTCAATGAAGCAGAAGTAGATTTTTTTTTTTTTAATTCCCTTGCTTTTTCTATGATCCAGTGTATGTTGGCAATTTGATCTCTGGTTCCTCTGCCTTTTCTAAATTCAGCTTGTACATCTGGAAGTTCTTCATTCATGTACTACTGAATCCTAACTTGAAGGATTTTGAGCATAATCTTTCTGGCATGTGAAATGAGTGATATTTCTCTTAAGACTCTTTCATTCTAGAGGATTCTTTCTTTTCCTTCCTTTCAGTTTACTTGTTGGAGACACCAAGTCATCTGTCCCAGAGAGTTTTGTGCAGTTAAGAGTTTGTGGGTTATATCCCTGTGGTACCATTTAACATGTTTTTCTGTCCCTGGTAGTTCCTACCAGTGAAAAGTAAAAGTCCCATTTAGGGACTTGACAGTTTCTGGTTTGATTTTTTTTTTTTAATAAAAATACTCAGTATGTGGTTGGAAATGTTTAGGGTCTCCAGTCTAACCTTCCAGGGTCTCTGTGGCTGGGACCTCCAGCTCAAGATGCTCCAAGCAAGCCCGAGCCTCTCATTAACAGGAGAAGCCAAGCCTAGAAGGTTTAGTTGTGCAAAGCAGAATCCCTGCAGAATTCAGAATCTCTTAGCGGAAGACCACCCTGGAGGAGGAGACCCGGGAGAGCTTTAGAAGCTGCAGTTTTACATCCACTTCATGTGGGTCTGCAGGAAAGTTCCTCACGCTGGCTCCCTCTCTGCTTGCCGGCACACAGAGTGGCCCACAGCCCCAGTCTGACTCATCCTCTCTGCCCTGTATTTCTTTCTTCCTCACACCCCAAGCGGACTGCTCATCGCTCTCCTCCACTCACCCCTGTCGTTGGAACTGCTGAAGCTGAGACCTAGAGATACCCCGCCACGACTACTTTTCACTCTCATTCCGAGGTCTAGTCCCACTTTATTTGAAAATCAGCCGACACCTAGCAGCAACTTGCTGTGATTTTAAAAGACTTTAAAAATTTTAAAGTAATTCTCATCTTCCTCTTCTGCTGTTTCTTTTCCTTCTTTTATTGTTTGTTTTCCATCTTAAAGACTTCTTGGCAACCAGTTTTGGGAGAAAGAGATCTTTTACCAAAGACCAGAAGGCGTGTTCCATGCCCGCAGCCAAGGTGATAAAACTCCTCAGGTGTTTTCCCTTTCCACTGCCAGTGTCGACCGAGCCCAGGCACGCGCCAGGAGGGCTTCCCAATACCTGTGGACAGGTTCATGATTCATGCAGCACTCGGAGACAAGCTGCTGCCTGGCACCCAGGTTCTTCTTGGCACCGGAGATTCAACGAACAAGAGCACCAGATATCCACACACACACTGCTGGTGTTTTAGTGAGGAGGGCAGATTATAAGGAAGAAAACCCAAGTACATGTCATAAATTCAATAATGGTGTGTTACAAGGAAAATGAATCCAGGTGTTATGGCAGTGAGTGACTGGGTGGAAAACAGCAAAGAAGGTGGACAGACAAAACCTGAATAATGAGGAAGTTGGATCCAAGTCTTGGCGCTGTCCTTTGGTACCTGTGTGATCTCCAGCAAGATTCTCAACCTCTCTGGGCTTCAGTGTCTTCTTTTGTGAAATGAGGGTATAAATGATCTACTTTATAGGGTTAGCATAAGAAGTAAATTAGTTAATATATGTAAATGAGTCAGTGTATGTCTGGCCCATTGTGAAAACTCAATAAGTATTATCTCTTATTAAGACATGTTCCTCTTAGGAGTGTCCTTATGCGTATCTACAAATTGAAGGCTCTGAGAAGTCCTGCATTAAAACCTTACTGAAATTGTTTGGTTTACATTTGCCAAACTTACTTTTTTCATGACATTCCCTCATGAATGTTCAGGAAACCAAAGCTTCTCAGAACACATTTTTAAAAGTTTTATTGAGCTATAATTCACATATAAAATTCGCCCATTTAAAGGGTGCAGTTCAATAGTTTTTGTAGTATATTTGCAGAGTGTGCAACCATCATCACAATCTAACTTTAGAACATTTTTGTCCCTCTCAAGAGAAACCGTGCATCTACTAGCGGTGATTTCTCATTTTTCCCTTCTCCCAGCCCATATAACCACTAATCTGCTGCTGTCTTTATAGATTCGCCTGCTCTTCACAATTCATATAAGTGGAATCATACGTTATGTGCCCTTTTGTGACTCATTGCTTTCATTCAGCTTAATGTGTTCAAGGTTCACTCACATCAGGGCATATATCTGTGTTTCATCCCTTTCTATGGCCAAGAAGTATTTCACTGTATGGACATACCACATTTTATTTATCCATTTATTAGTTGATGGACTTGCGTTGTTTCCACTTTCATGAAGAATGCCACTGTGAACATTCCTGCAGATGAACATTTTGTGGATGTATGTTTTCATTTCTTTTGGGTGTATACCTGGGAGTGAAATGACTGGGTCGTGAGATAGCTCTGTTTAGCATTTGGCAGAAAAGAGCACTCTTTTCGGTGTGTTGGTGCTATCCTTTTCTCTTCTCTGTTGTTTTCCTTCCTCTTCCTCCCTGCTACCGCCACCCTCCCAACCCTTCCCACCATCTAGGAAGCAGGTCAGAACTTTGCCACTGCCCAGCTGTGTGAGGTTTTGAGCAAGTGAAATTTACATTTCTCAGAACCTCCATTTTCTCACCTATAAGATGGACATAAAGACAAAATGAGATTATTTACGTAACATTCTTACACTAGTGTCTGGCCATCAATGGTAGCTGTATTCTTGTTAGTAGCATCTGTGCATGTGCTGGAAAGATCTTACCAGTATCAGCATTATGTGTTGGTAGATGTGATTGTAAACAGTGTCATGACCAGGAGTCCTGTGCTTGCCTCCCAGGAGGGAGAAGGAAAGGCTCATCCTCACCTCCACTTGATTCCGTCAAATGAATCTCTAAAGTGATTGCATTGATGTGCAGTGTCAGTGGAAGCCTCACTTACATCCTTGCCAACCTTTGATCATGTTTCAGTGTTCTTTATTTTTTGCCACCTTATGGCTTTGATGTGGATACCAGGCACCTTACCTGGACTGTTTCATTCAGCACCTACAGACACCCCATGAGGTAGATACAAAAATTCTCCCTGTGTTGCAGAGGGTGACTATTTAAGACCATTAAGAAATTTACATGTTCTTCCTTTCATTCAACAAATATTTATTGAGCATTTACTCCATGCCAGACGCTGCAAACAAAGTCAAGTCCCCGTCCCCAGGGCTTAAGAGTCCAGTGGGGGAGACAGATCAAATAAATCTGTAAGAGTACTTCAGCTCCAGGGAGAGAAATGAAACAGGATGAGGAGGCTGCAGAGCGATGTTTCCGATGGGGGGTCAGGGAAGGCTTCTGAAGGAGGTGGCCTTTATATGAAGACCTGAATGAAATGAAGGGTGGGCCACATGCCCACCTGCAGTGAGAGCTTTCTTGAAAGAGGAAACAGCAAGCATGAGTCTGTGAGGCAGGGCTTGGTTGGGATGTTTGAGGAACAAGGAAGCTGTCGTAGGTGGAATTCTAAAGCCAGATCCCCAGTCTCTGGTCATTCGACCAAACATGAATCCAGCTAGTGCCATAAATGGACTTTGTGTTTGTAATTAAGGTCCCAAGTCTGTTGACCTTGAGGTGTGGAGATGAGCCAGGTAGGTTAGGTCTAATCAGTTGAGCTCTTTAAGAGCAGAGAGCTCTCTCTGGCTCCTGGCAGGGGAATTAAGAGGTGGTTGAAGCACAGGAAAGATCCCATGTGCTACTGCTGGCTGCAAATAAAGGAAGACACACGACAAGGTGGCCTCTAGGACCTAGGAGCTGCCCCTGGCTGAACACCATGAAGGAAAGGGGGACTACAGTCCTACAGCCACAGGAATGGAGTTCTGCCAGTTACGGGCAAGAGCTCGGAGGAGAATCCTCAGACAACAGCACAGCTGGCGAACACCTTGACTTCCACCTGAGTGAAGGGTACAGCTCACCCTGCTGGACCTCCAGCTTCCAGAACTGTGAGCTAATAATCAGGTGTTGTTCTAAGCTGTTGACTTGGGGGGTAGGGTAATTTGTTACATAGCAGAGAAAATGGATACAGAGGCCTGGTGGCTGGAAAGGAGGATGGGAATGGTGGCGGGGAGAGGAGACAGGGCCTGAGAGGTCACATTGGGCCAGATGCTGTGGGACTGTGTAGGCGGTGGTGAGCACTTTGGCATCTGTGCTGAGGGACACAGAGAACCACCACAAGCATGTAGTGCTCAGCCCTCCTCGCTGTCTGTTCCCAAGCTTGCCGCCTCTAATTTTCCATCCTCCCAGTGTTCCTCCCACCACCACCCCCTCCCCCACTTCCTGGTGTCATCTACCAATGCCTGCGTGTGAATTGGTTGGGGCACTATTGATGGGAAGGGACTGAAAAACAACACAAACTACTTAACCCCCGAGTCCAGGGACTTCAGGCTTAGCTGGATCCAGGAATTCAAGTTACCTTCAAAAATCTGTGCCTTTGCAACTCTCTACTTTGCTTTCTTCATTGTCTTCATTCTCAGGCAGCCTCTCCCCATTCTGGTGGTGGAAATGGTTATCAGCGCTGTGAGCTCACATCCTGCCCTGTTATCAATCTGAACAGAGCCATCCCATCTCTCCTGCATGGTTCCCCTAAGAGTCCTGGGATAACTGGCACTAGCCCAGGTTGGGTCACATGACCACAGCAGAGCCAGTCACAAAGGCTGGGGGTAGGATAGGGAGAAGACTTTCAGTGGCCAGACCACCACTGTATACCTGTTCCAGGACATGGAACACAGGGGAGGGTGGGGAGCAGGGGTCCCCTTGAATGGAGAACCCCTTGAATGGAGAAAGGGGAGATGGTCCTTGGGGATCCTCTAGGTGGTCAGTGGGGTGCTGGAGCAGCCAAAGAGGATCTGGATGCTGGGCAGCACAGCCAGCAGGCGTCCACTAGAGCAGCCAGCCCCATCCACACCTCTGGGCGTCATGGGTGCCTGTGGCAAGAATATAGCTTCTGCGTGGGCCTTCCAGAGCCTCACGCTGGGTCCTGCTCAGATCACAGGGCCCTCGCTTCTCCCCTTGTTATCTCTGCATCCTATTAGGTCTTGGCACCGGCGTCAGGGGTTGTGGAAATACCACAGGGCCCTGCCTCTGCCCTGTTGTTTACTGAAGAAATAGAGAAAGAAACTCAACTGAACAGATGCTTGGACCAGCAGAGCAGCCCTGGGAGATTCATGCCACAGAGACTCATCGTCATAAACAGGCGCTGAGAGGGGCAGCCTGGAGAGTCTGTCCAAGTCCCAAACAAACGGGGACCCACAGCCAAATGCGAGGCCAGCTGGAAGGCCCCTAGCCAGGGAGGAGGGGAGCCCCTCGGCTGGAGGAAGGTCCAGCAGGATGCTCCAGCTCGTTGTCTGTGTGGAGGGTCGGGGTGGGTGCCTATGGCTGCATCTGCTCCTTGTTGCTTTTTAGAGGCAGTGTTGGAAACAGATCTGGGAGGACAGGTGTGCTGCTCAGTTTGGATGGAGCGCCTCCCCTCACCAGACACCAGTAATTGTTGTGCTTGGCCTCACAGTGGCCGACAAGGACATCATCGAGTACCCTCCTTCCCCAGCCCCCTCCCGCTGCCACACTTTACTCCTGGGGCTGCTCCAACCACACAAGCCTCCTCCTGTTCCTGAAATCTACCAGCACACCCCTGTCTCAGGGCCTTTGCATCTGCTGTTCCCACCACCTGCAGTACTTCAAACACACTGCCCAGCAGCTTACTCTCTCACCTCGCCTAGGCTTCTGCTCACATGTCCGCTTATGACACAGGACTTTTCCATCAGGCTCAGTTTGCTGCAGTAACAAATAAGCCCCAATTCCTCATATCCAGGCACAGCCAGTGCTCACCTCTCACACACACTGCGTATTCAGTGTCATCACCTGGGGGCTCTGTTGATCACCCAAGGTTCCATCTCTACTTGTTTTTTGCGGCAGTGCAGTGGGTGGGATCTTAGTTCCCCAACAATGGATAGAATCTGCACTTCCTGCAGTGGAAGCCTAGAGTCTTAACCACTGGACTGCCAGGGAAGTCCCTCCATCTCTGCTTGTGTTTTCACGGTTACAGTGGCCGCAGGACGGGAGGATAGAAAAGCACGTGGTGGCTCTGCAAGTCCTCCAGGTAGTCACACCTGTCACTTTCATTCACGTTTTGTGGCCAAAGCCAGTCACAGGTATCTGGAAGGAGAACCAAAAACATTTGGTGAACAGCTCAGCGTCACCTATTTTCTTAATCACCCTGCATCTACGGACCCCGCTCTGCTTTAATGCCTGCTCCTGCCCTGCTCCCTGCCTGACATTACATTATATTTAGTGTTTTTGC